CACTTCCTAAATACCAATTTAAATCTTAACAGTTTCGATTACATTGGAGAAATAATCTAAGAGAAATTGAAGAAAACATAGCCATTGTCAAACTAAAGTACAAAAATCAATAATAAATGATTCCATATTTAGCACAAAGGAATAGATTTCACTGGTCCAGTTAAACTTGAAATATACCTAGGAACTGTGTTTTTAAAAGCAGTCAGTCGTATGTGATGAGACATAAGCAATAGCTATAGACTTAGTTGGAGACAATCCATGGGAAACCACACGAAATTTAAATAAATTTAAGGAAAAACAATGTATCCAGCAGAAAGGCATTAACGCGGGTTCCTCAGCTCGGAAATACGAGTGAGAAGGTGGTCGGTACACTAGTATTAAGCACCACAGAACCCGGTGACGTTCCTCATGGGTCCAGCCCACACGCCTTCCCGGATACCTGGACAGGAAGTGCTCGGCGCTCCGGCCAGAGCCTCCCCCGGAGCGTGGCTCACCAGGCTCAGGCCTCGAAGCAGTGGAACATCCGCGCTGATGTCAAACAGGGAGACCAAGGCAGGGGCCGGGGTCGGGGCTGGGACTGCACTAGGAGCCGGCAACATGGCTGGAGAGGATCTACTTAGGAGCAGCTCCCGGGGCAGAAACGGGGAAAGCAACAGCACTCCGAGGGCAGATCTACTGCCACGTCTCGGGCCTTGCCCGGTCGGTCTTCCCTCAGGCAAAGCCCCTGGGTCCTCAACTGTTACCAGTCCTGCGGTAACTATGTGGCGCGTCCGTTTCTCAACCCCCTCTTGGTGGACAAGTGTAAGATGGAGAGCATCCAGACCCAAATCGGACCCAACAGTTAAAAGCCGGAGGCTGCCCAGCCGACCTACGAGCCCCCGCGCTCAGAAGCCGTTACACCGCCCCGGGAGCAAGTCGAAAGCTCTGCCTCAGTTCGGAAGCCGGATTTCTGCAACACCACAATCCCATCAGTACGGAGCGGCGAAGGGGTCAAACAGTGGCGTCCGCACCCCAGCCCCGCCCCACGCAGTGCACCCTATTGGTTCTCTGACCTCCAAGACCCGCCTCTAACCTTTCGTCATGCCCCCCGGACCGAGAATTGGCCGTTCTATCTCCACCCTCCGCGCTCATTGGCCAGGCTGGCTGCAGTGACAGTGAGTGGCAGACGGCGGGCCTAGCGCTCCCGGACCCGCCGAGCGGAGCCGAACAGACAGGCCCCTGGAATCGCCCAGGTCGCGGTTCCTGCGGTGACACGCGAGGCTGGTGATTGGAATCCTCAGACACAGGCCGGACCTGGCCAGGGGTGCCCACAGAGCCCCAAGAGAACTCGTGACGGGTAACGGGGAAAGGGGAGCCACGGGAGGGCCGGGGGCGCGCAGCCGAAATGTTTTGATAGAGGGCGCACGCGGACGGGGGCGCGCGCGGGCGGCGGGGGCGCGCGCCGGGTTGTCCGCTGTTGGGAGCCTAGCCCCTGGCCTGGGGCTGGGCGACCCTGGGGCGCCCTGTGCTCAGGTCTGGGTGACTAGGTTTGGGGAGGCATCCCAGCCCACTAGGGATGTCGGCTGTAGGTCTGGCTTGACTCTTCCAACCATCTGCAGGCACCCCTGAGCCCGGGCCCTTCCCGGGGGGATCCATGGGTTCTGGGTCTACACTGACCCGGTGAGTGTGTTTCTTGAGGGACAGGGCTCTCTCTAACCGAGGGACTCCCTTCGAGGCCAGGCTGAGCCAAGTTCCACTGTCCCTAGAGTCTGCACTGACTGGGTGTGTATCACCTTGACCCTGCCTGGACCTAGGGAACCCACATATCTGGGATCTGGAATTTACATTGACTGGAAATTTCCGGTCCAGAAGCTATGCCTTATCTTCTCTGATGCTAGGGAAGCAGGAGAGAGTTTTGACCAGAAAGATCTTCAGAAATCTCATTTGGGGTTTTGTAGACCCTGAAAAGCATGTCTGATTTCCAAAGCTGGGGTGGGGCAAGGGTGAAACAGTTTAGAAGTGCTGTGTGGCCTCTGATCTGTCTCCACAGGGTCAGCAAGGTAGTCCTGGGTATCCTAGCTGAGTAGAACAGCCAGGAGAGGTCTGTCCTAGATCTGGGAGAGTGCCTCTCCCACTCCCATCTCTCTCCCCTCCTCTTGGGAGGACTTAGGTGGGTGGGAGGGTTAAATTCCTTTCTGTCCCAACTCTCCACTCTTTGAGGCCTGACACCTTTTCCTCCAGCAGCTGTCCAACCAGGGCATCCAGGACTGGAGTGGAGCAGACACTGTCCCATGGAGCTGGTAGGGCCATGTGCTTGTCTTAAACATTTCTTTACAAAAATGCTTCCAAACTGCTAGTTTCTGGGGAGACCTGGGTTTCCCGGAGGGGCAGGGGAGGAAACTTTGTCTCCATTGGACAGAAAATGAGACAGCATACCTCCCTGCCCTCAGGGGCAGATTCTGGCTTTAGGCCACGGAGGCATCAGTAGATACTCAGTAAAAACTCTAGGAATGACTGACCATAATTAATGCCCCCTGGATCCCCAACCTCACTGCTCTCCTTGGATTATTATTCCAGGTTTGCTTTTGAGCCAAGGAAGTTAGTGGTAGACACAAATCCCAAGGCTTTTTTCTCATTCCTTCTGGCCTGGTGCACAGGACAGCCAGAGGGCAGTACTTGGGTCTGACGTAGGCTGTCTTCTTTCTTATCACTGGCAGGTTGACACGGTGGACAGGGGGCTGCGGTGATGGCACAGTTTGACACTGAATATCAGCGCCTGGAGGCCTCCTATAGTGATTCACCCCCAGGGGAGGAGGACCTTTTGGTGCATGTCGCTGAAGGGAGCAAGTGTGAGTTCTTAGACTTGACAGCTAGATCAGGGGCATGGGAGAATTGCTGAAGTGAGGGGCTTTTGTTCCTTCAGAGCTCTGACATCTCTGTTCCTGTGCCCACAGCACCTTGGCACCACATTGAAAACCTTGACCTCTTCTTCTCTCGAATATCCTTTGTGTTGGAGTTCTGGGACCTTTAGCCCTTCTCTGAGCCAGGTTCTTGATGGGAAGTTGGGATGAGCTGAAGTCCAGTTCATGGAAGGGGAAATAAAGCTCATTCTGAAGTAATAATTATTAAAAACAATGATAGCCCATATTTAACTGAGAGCTATGTGCACTTGTGTTAATTTATAAATAACTTTTCTAAAGGCATTAATTTATAAGGGAGCTTTTCTAATGGGATGTTAATAATTGTAACAATGTCTTTTAAATCATTCTTTGTTACTTCTGGGTTAAATACTTTGAATGCATATTTTTAGAGTTAATAATTCTATGAGATAGATGTTGCTACTATTAATTTACCACTGGATAAAGCTTAGAGAAGTAACTTGTTTAAAGTCGTACTCCAGAAAGTCACAGAACCTGGGCTTCAGCTTGGGAGTGTGACATCAGAGTCTTAATGTCTGTGCTTACTTTTTCTTAATTCTTGCACGTTTATAATCTTCACCAGAAGAATGGCTTCACGTGTATGCTCATTGGGGAGATCTTTGAGCTCATGTTAGTATACAAAAGGATGGATGATGTGGCAAAGGAACACATCTTAGTCTTTCCTTGTGCTCATGTCTGGCCCTACCTGCCAATGCAACTCAACCCTAAGCCCAAAACTCTGCAAACCTTCATATCTCAGGACCAGATTTGACACCAAAACCTGTAGGCTCATTTCTTGTTTGTTTGTTTGTTTTTTGTTATTTTGAGACAGGGTCTCCCTGTAGCCCCAGCTGTCCTGGAACTCGATATGTAGACCAGGCTGGCATTGAACTCACAGAGATCTGCCTGCCTCTGCCTCCCAAGTGCTGTGATTAAAGGCGTGTGCCACCATGCCCAGCTTGTAAAGCCTTATTTCTTAAAAGAAGAGCTTTCTAGGTCCTGTCTCTTTCATGAACTCACAACTTGATCACTCCATCAGGACAGCGGGGTGAGGGGGGTAGGGGGGTGGTTCAGTCAGGATGTCTTAGATGGCACTTGAAGAAAGAGCCTCTACTCTTCCAGGCTTTACATTAAACCTGCTGTTAGGAAGGGAGCCTTTTAGGACAGAGAAGCAGTATGGTATTGCCAGAAGGGAGGAGTTAGTAATTTTTTTTAAAATTTTTTTTTTTTTTTTTTTTTTTTTTTGGAGCCTGGCATAGTGGTTCATGCCTTTAATCTCAGGAAGCAGAGGCAAGCAGATCTCTGTGAGATCCATAGTGAGTTCCAGGCCAGATGGGACAGGCTGTAGGGAGACCCTGTCTCAAAAAGACAAAAGAAAAAAAAATGATCTTTTTGTTGTTTTCTTTTTGAGACAAAGTCTCCCTGTAGCTACAAGTGGCCTGGAACACTATGTAGAACAGGCTGTCCTTGATTTCAGAGATCTGCCTGCCTCTGCCTCCTGAGTGCTGGCATTAAAGAAAGGTGTGTACCACCAGGTCCTGCAAGATCTTTATTTTTAATTACATATATGAGTGTGTGTTCTTTATATGTATATGTGCAGGTGAGTGCAAGAACCTACACAGGTCAGAGGTGTCAGATCCCCTTGGAGTTTGAGTTATATAGGTGGTTTGGCCAGCCTAACGTGGGTACTAGGGATCAAACCCAGGTTCTCTGCAAGAGCAATATACCCTTTTAACCACTGAGCCATCTCTCCATCTTGGGAAGGGAGTTTTTCTCTTTTGAAACAAGGTCTGTGTAGCCCCAGCTGGCCTGGAACTCACAGATCTCCCAGCCTCTGCTTCCGAAGTGCTGGGATTAAAGGCAAGGCAGGATTAAAGGAATGCACCACCTCGCCCAGCCTTGGAATGGAGTTCTTAATGATAAGGACTTCATGTCCTTAAAGGGATTCTAACTACCATCTCATAATAATAATAAAACACTAGAGCATGTAGACCACAATCATAAAACCATTGAAAATCAAGTCCAGTGGTGGTGGCAGATTATCATGATATGAAAGAAAGCAGGCTGCTTCTGTGGCAACTGAGACTGAGGAAAAAATATGAACCAGTTTAGTTCTTGTGAGGTTAAGCAGTAGACAGAGTCCATTGAGAACTCTCTAACCCCATCCATTTCCCATCTTATTCAGCTGTTTCTAGGTGCTTTGCTTGTCTGACTTTATTTCCCTGGCATCTCTCTGACTCTTGAACTGCACCCCCTCTTCCCAATTCCCCAGGCAGTTCCTCTTTGTGGTTGCCTTTACCACCTTCCTGGTTAGTTGTGTGGACTACGACATCCTATTTGCCAACAAGATGGTGAACCACAGTCTTCATCCTACTGAGCCTGTCAAGGTTACTCTGCCAGATGCCTTTTTACCTGCCCAAGTCTGTAGTTCCAGGTAAGGTTGGAGGCCCTGGGACACTAGAATCTGTAGTTTTCTGGTAAGTAGGAAATGGAATGGGGTATGAGGCAGCAACTTGTACTCCAGAACATGTTGCTAAGACTCCATCCTCAAGGATCCTACCTCCTTTATTTTTCTCTACCAGGATTCAGGAAAATGGCTCCCTCATCACTATCCTGGTCATTGCTGGTGTCTTCTGGATCCACCGGCTTATCAAGTTCATCTATAACATTTGCTGCTATTGGGAGATCCACTCCTTCTACCTGCATGCCCTACGTATCCCCATGGTAAGACCAGAATTTGGGCCATCAGCTCAACAGCCCAAGACCTCTTGGGATGAGGTATATTCCTGAGCATCAATGCCCATATTATTGGCAAGTATCCTAGTCCACTTTCTATTAGTGTGGAAAAAAATAAGAGATAAATCAGCTTATAAAAAAATTATTTTGGTCGGGCGTGGTGGTGCACGCCTTTAATCCCAGCACTTGGGAGGCAGAGGCAGGCGGATCTCTGTGAGCTCCACGCCAGCCTGGTCTACATAGTTCCAGGACAGCTGGGGCTACAAGGAGACCCTGTTTCAAAAACGACAAAAAAAAAAAAAAAATTATTTTGGAGCCGGGTGTGGTGGCACATGCCTGTAGTCCTAGCACTTGGGAGGCAGAGGCAGGTGTATCTCTGTGAGTTCAAGGTCAGCCTGGTCTACATAGTGAGTTCCAGGCCAGCTGGGGCTATAGGGAAACCCTGTTTCAAGAGACCCCCCCCTCCCAAAAAAATACTTTGGCTCAGTTTTGGAGGTTTCAGTCCGTAGTTAGCTGGCCCAGTTGCTTTAGGGCAAGAGCACATGCAAGAGCACGATAGAGGAAGCCTGTTCACTTCATGGCAGCCAAGATAAAGAGGAAGGCAGGAAGGAATGGGATCCCAAGTCCCAATATCCCTTCCGGGGGCAGCCCCATGACCTAATTTCTTCCCAGTAGCCCTGCCTTGGAAGCACTCCTTCACTTGCCAGTAGTCCCACTGTCTGGAAACCAAGCCCCTAAGACATGGGTCTTTGAGGGGACATTCCAGATCTGAAAGCATCTCCACTTAGCTAAGCATATGATCAGAAAGCATCTCCACTTAGCTAAGCATATGATCTTGAGACTCGTATCTACGTAGGGTAAAGGGTTGGGGTAACAGCCCCATCTTCTATACCTTATCTCTTCTCCACACTACTCTGCAGTCTGCCCTTCCATATTGCACATGGCAGGAAGTGCAGGCCCGGATTGTGCAGACCCAGAAAGAGCATCAGATCTGTATCCACAAGCGTGAGCTAACAGAACTGGACATCTACCACCGCATCCTGCGTTTCCAGAACTACATGGTGGCACTGGTGAACAAATCCCTTCTGCCTCTGCGCTTCCGCCTGCCTGGCCTTGGGGAGGTTGTCTTTTTCACTCGTGGCCTCAAGTACAACTTTGAGCTGATCCTCTTCTGGGGACCTGGCTCTCTGTTTCTCAATGAATGGAGCCTCAAGGCTGAGTACAAGCGTGGAGGACAACGGTTGGAACTGGCCCAGCGCCTCAGCAATCGCATCCTGTGGATTGGCATCGCCAACTTCCTGCTGTGCCCCCTCATCCTCATCTGGCAGATCCTCTATGCCTTCTTCAGCTATGCTGAGGTGCTGAAGCGGGAACCAGGAGCCTTGGGAGCACGCTGCTGGTCACTTTATGGTCGCTGCTACCTCCGCCACTTCAACGAGCTGGAACATGAGCTGCAGTCCCGCCTCAACCGTGGCTACAAGCCTGCCTCCAAGTACATGAATTGCTTTTTATCACCTCTGCTGACACTGCTGGCCAAGAATGGTGCCTTCTTTGCTGGCTCCATCCTGGCTGTGCTTATTGCTCTCACCATCTATGACGAAGATGTGTTGGCTGTGGAACATGTCCTTACCACTGTCACACTTCTAGGAGTCACAGTGACTGTGTGCAGGTGGGCAAGGGCAGCAGGTGGGAATAAGCAGCCTAGCATTCTGGGAAAGGTGTATATCTCACCATGAACCTAATCCCACTAGGTCCTTCATCCCAGACCAGCACATGGTATTCTGCCCTGAGCAACTGCTCCGAGTGATCCTCGCTCACATCCACTACATGCCTGACCACTGGCAGGGTAATGCCCACCGCTCGCAGACCCGGGACGAGTTTGCCCAGCTCTTCCAGTACAAGGCAGTGAGTGGAGTTGGAGTTAGGGCCTGCTAGAGACTGGCTAGTAGCTTGGATGGTAAGGGCTGGACTCGCTCCTGCTTGCTTGTGACCTTGCACTCCTTCCTCCCTTTTAGGTGTTCATCTTGGAGGAGTTGCTGAGTCCCATTGTCACACCTCTCATTCTTATTTTCTGCCTGCGCCCACGGGCCCTGGAGATTATAGACTTCTTCCGAAATTTCACTGTGGAGGTTGTTGGTGTTGGAGATACCTGCTCCTTTGCTCAGATGGATGTGCGTCAACATGGTCATCCTCAGGTACTGGGACAGTTGGGGGCTGGTGGACAGGGATGATGCTGGCACGTAATCCTTGGGCAACTGCAAAAATCTACCCTTTCTGAGCTAATGAATCACAGAAAGACAGCCCTGTGGGGATCCCTACACTAAGGATATGCTGCTTGGCACCTGGGAATTGGCTAGGTTCCAGCCCTAATTTGTACCATCAGCCAAGCTCCCTTGAGAAAAGCCTAGCACAAGTAACTGACCCAGCAAGTGGCTGCTCCTGGGGTGGGCATCAGGGCCTCTAGACAGTGGACCATGGTCGTTGTCCTCCAGGGCCAAGGACTCTCCTTAGCAGGAAAGGTATAGGAAAAGTTCCTATAAGCACTTAGATCTACTTATTGATTCTCCCTGTGCAGTGGCTGTCCGGAGGGCAGACAGAGGCTTCAGTGTACCAGCAAGCTGAGGATGGGAAGACAGAGTTGTCGCTCATGCACTTTGCCATCACTAATCCTGGCTGGCAGCCACCACGCGAGAGCACAGCCTTTCTGGGCTTCCTAAAGGAGCAGGTTCAACGGGATGGAGCAGCTGCTGGCCTTGCCCAAGGTGGTCTGCTCCCTGAAAACGCCCTTTTCACCTCCATCCAGTCATTACAATCTGAGTCTGAGGTATGTACCTAGGGCCTGAGTGATGATGGGCACAGTGGACCCCAGCAGTGGGGAATGAACATGGGACATAGTAGGGAAGATACCCTCTGTCTGTTCAGTTTGTGCCACTGGGTCCTCAGGTTCAGGATACTAGAGGACCTGGAGGCTTCTCCTCTGCTCTGAGAATTCTCCTTACCCTTTCCTTTCATAGCCCTTGAGCCTTATTGCAAATGTAGTAGCTGGCTCATCCTGCCGGGGACCCCCACTGCCCAAAGACCTGCAGGGCTCCAGGCACAGAGCTGAAGTTGCTTCTGCCCTTCGTTCCTTCTCCCCTCTGCAACCTGGACAGGCCCCTCCAGGCCGGGCTCCCAGCACCATGACAGGCTCTGGGTGAGTGGAGTTGGGAGGGCATGGCAGTAGTCTAGAGCAACTTGTATGGATCTTGAAAATATTGACAAGAGCTCTTTTTCTGTACTGGGAGGGACAGAGTGGATGCCAGGACAGCCAGCTCTGGGAGCAGTGTGTGGGAAGGACAACTGCAGAGCCTGGTGCTGTCAGAATATGCATCCACAGAGATGAGCCTTCATGCCCTCTATATGCACCAGGTGAGTAGGCAAGTGACAAGTAAAAGACGGCTTCAGATGCAAAGAAACCAGACTTGCCTTTCAGTTCTTTCTCTGCACACCTGCTCTGTAGTCTCCATTTTTCATATGTACCACCTTAATAGCATCATTAGCCAAGTGTACTCTCCATTTCCACTGTCCGGAGTCCTTCCTCTTACTGCTGCTATCTCTTCCTGAAACTTTCTCTGACCATCCTCAGTAAAAGCCTCCCTTACCCACTCCACTCTCCTGTATCAAGTTTTGTTTACCTGAAGATTGAACCCAGGGCCTTGGACATGCTACACAAGCTCTGAACTATAGCTTCAGCCCTGTTTTCCCTTATTATTTTGAGACCCATTTTCACTAACTTACCCAGGCTGGCCTTGAACTTATTCTGTAGCCCAGACAGGCTTTGAACTTGTGATCCTTCTATAGCCTCCCAAGAAGCTGGGATTATAGGTCTCTACCACCAGGCCCAGCTCCTCCCCTGAATCTTTTTCTTTTCTTTCTTTCCTTCCCCTCTCCCTTTCTTTCCCCATCCCCTTCCTTTTCCCTCCATTCTCCTTTCTTCCCTCCTTCTCTTTTCTTCCCTCCTTCCCTCCCTCCCTCCCTCTCTTCTTCCTCCTCCTCCTCTTCCTTTCTTCTTTCTTATTCTTCCTCTTTCTTCTTCCACAGGGTCACTAGGCAGCCCTGTCTGGCCTGGAACTCATTATATAGACCAAGCTAGGCTCAATCCTGCTGCCACATACATCTGCTTCCTGAATTTTCTTGTTCTATTTTTCTCATTAGCATCTGTTGCCATCTGACACTCTGTGTTTTGTTCTTATTTAATAGTTTATCATCTGTCTTCCCCCCAGTCACCACCTACAGTGTCCAAGCCCCACAAGGGTTGGCAGTTCTATTTTGTTCACTACTGTGTCTGTCCCTAGTCCACAATCCCAAAGCAATACCTGACACTTAGACCCTCTGTTAATTTGTTCTTTAATTAAAAGGATGGGTAAAATGAGGGCTGGGGATGTAGCTTAATTGATAAAGTGCCTGCCTTGCATGAATGAGGCCCTGGGTTCCATCCTTAGCACCACATAAACATCTGCAATCTCAAGGGTGGAGGTGGAGGCAGGAGAATCAGAAGTTCAAGATCATTTTCAGCTGCATGTGAGTTCAAGGTCAATTTGAGCTACTCAGAGGCTCCTGAGAATAGAACCCATGGAGCATCACACATCTCTTAATCACTACTAACATAGCTGCTGTGGGTCTAGGATTCTAGGTGAGAGTTTGTAGGTGGGAACTGAAGATAATGTGGTGAGTACTGCTGTTTCAGATAGAGATCCTTCTGTCCCCAACTAATCAGCCCTCCACTTCTCCAGCTCCACAAGCAGCAGACCCAGACTGAACCTGAGCGGCATGTGTGGCACCGCCGGGAGAGTGATGAGAGTGGAGAGAGTGCCCCTGAAGAAGGGGGAGAGGGTGCCCGTGCCACCCAACCTATTCCCCGCTCTGCCAGCTATCCCTGCGCTGCATCCCGGCTTGGAGCACCCGAGACCACCGCCCTGCACGGGGGCTTCCAGAGGCGTTATGGGGGAATAACAGGTATCCAGGCTGCAGGGAAGGGTGGCTCTTTAGAAGAGGAAAGCGGTCAGAGGGATGGGGCTCAAGGAGACTAACCTCTAAGTAGACTCCAAAGCCTTCTCATTCTTGTTTGTCTCTAGATCCTGGCATAGTGCCCCGGGCTCCCTCTCACTTCTCCAGGCTGCCCCTAGTAGGGTGGGCAGAAGATGGGCAGCCAGCATCAAGACACCCTGAGCCTGTACCAGAGGAGGGCTCGGAGGATGAGCTTCCCCCTCAAGTGCACAAGGTAAGGTCTCTAGAGCCAAGAACACCTGCCAAGAGTGAAGAACAGCTTTCCATGTGAAGAAAGGTCCCTCCCACTCAGTGCATGAGTACTGTTCACTCCGTACAAAACACACCTACTGATCTGAAGTCCAGGACCTGCTTCTTCAGGCTCAAGCTTTTCTTTCCTTTATCTCTGGGCTCCTGTGGACAAGCAGATGGTGGAAGACTATCTTTATTACCAATCGTTTTTCTCTCTGCAGGTATAGATAAGGCAGAAGAGAGTCCCCATGCCCCAGGATGGAGGCGACAGCTGCCCTGCCATCCCATCTGCCTGCCATGGGAGGGCTTCTCTGAGTGTCGCCTGGCTCCATGTGTGTGGTGTTTGTGTGTCTGTGCCTGGCCAAGGGAGATGCCAACACTGGGCTTGCTATAGCCCCAGAAGAATTTGAGGCCTAGAGACCAGGGGTACACAAGACTTTAGCCTCATCCCTAGGACTCCCTTGGTTCAGAGTGTGGTGCTAGAAACTGGTCCCCAGCCCAGCCCCAGTACTGCCACCTTTGCACCCACCCCTGCAAGTCTCCAGAGGGTTTCCCACCACAGAAGCTACCAAGCAAGGAGAACTTGTGCCAACTGTGGAGTGGGGAGGTTGGGCCTGAACCCTCAACCCCTGCAGCCACTCCCTCACCTGGAGTAGCTGAGCTGCTCAGGTTGTGGCCCTTGCCTCACCTCCAGTCTGCCCAGTGCTACCACCAGCTCACCTCTCTTCTGCTCCCTGCACATCACTGGCATGTACATGCTGCTTGCTTCTGTTCTGTTCACTTGACCCCCTTTCTGCCTGGCTTCTGCTTTTCGTTGGGGTGAAAGCCCTAGCTCCTAGCTCCCCTCACACTGTTTTTGACACTAAGATGGAAGGTTTTAACTTGCAGGAACAGGGTGAAAATCCTTTCCTGCCCTCTCCAACTTTTAGGATGGGCCCCTGGGAGTGTGAGACCTTCCTGGGCCCCACTGCTGCTTATTGTACTCCACCTCCCACCACTGCACATGGGATGATAGGACTGGAATGTGACCTCAACTCTCTACATCCCAGCAAGAGAACGCTGGCCTGCATCCCTAGGTCCCCTGGAGGAGGATGAAGGGATGATGGACTTGCCCTAGGCTTTGGGGCTGCCGTATTGCATGCTGGAATTCAGCTCCCACCTTCCACCCCACCCTCACCCAGCTCTGCTCTACTGTGGGAGGTGAACTCTACTGCAGGTGGTGAACTCTGCTGTCTCAGCCCACAGCAAAGTGTGGGAACCGTGTACAGCCTGATAACCCTTAATAAAGGGACTTTGACCGGGTTGTGGCTCTTCTCTCATTCAGCAGCCAAGATCTTGGGACAATAAGAGTGAGATGGGTGATTCTCGGGTCCTTAGCTGCCTGGCTGGGATCTGGAAGCACGAGGGGCTGTGGTGTGGCTGGGATATACAGAGCTAGGACTCAGAAGGGCTGCTTCCAGGAGGCTCCGAAGGTAGTTCTGTAGCTTACCTAATGTGTAAGGCTTGGCTGGGTTCAGTCCCCAGCACGGAAGAAAACCTAAACCCAAAAAGGGAAGACATCCTCTTGGCTCATGCTTGTAAATCCCAGCACTCAGGAGGTTGAGGGAAGAGAATTGCTAAGAGTTTAAGAGTAGCCTCACTATAATGTGATGCCCTCTCAAAACAAAAAAGATCTGATGCAGCCGGGCGTGGTGGCACATGCCTTTAATCCCAGCACTTGGGAGGCAAGAGGCAGGCGGATTTCTGAGTTCGAGGCCAGCCTGGTCTCCATAGTGAATCCAGGCCAGCTAGGGCTACAAGGAGACCCTGTCTCAAAAAGACCAAAAAAAAAAAAAAAAAGGTCCAATGCAGACCACAATTTCGTAGAGGTCAAGGCGCCCTGGGCACGTGTCCAATTCGGCTCTATTTTGCGTTTCTCGCTCGGCGCACTTACCCCGCCTCCAGGAGACACCTGACCAATGGGGACTCTGGATAGGACAGGGCTGGTGGGCGGGGTCACTGCCGTAAAGGGATTAACAGTTCTGTTCCGCTGCACTTGACCTGAGGGTCCCTGGCTATGAGCGAGTGGGGACCGGTGTAGACGGCGTACGTGGCCTGCGTGAGTGCGTGGTGGCGGCGCGTGCGCGAAGCGAGTGGGCGGTGTGGCAGGGTCCTCGTGTGTCCCTCCCCGCGACCCCAGCGCCGTAGCTCAATGTCCCAAGACACCCAGGCATCCGCGGCCCTCTCGGAGAGGCCAGCCCCTCTCGCCGGTCCCTCAGTGACCTCAAGCTCGGCCAGCACATCGCTATGGTGACGGTGGGCAACTACTGCGAGACCGAAGGGCCGGTGGGCCTGGCCTGGACCCAGAATGGCTTAAGTCCCTGTTTCTTCTTCACGCTTGTGCCCTCGACACTGATGACACTGGGGGCTCTGGCCTTGGTCCTGGTTCTTCCCTGCAAACGTCGGGAGCTGCCAGCTGGCACAGACGAACTGTCTTGGGGGGCCGGCCCTCGCGTAGCTCCATATGTGCTGCAGTTGTTTCTGGCCACACTTCAGGTGGCCCTGCCCCTGGCCGGCCTGGCTGGCCGAATGGGCACCGCCGCGGGGGCTCGGCTGCCAGGCTACCTACTGCTGGCCTCGGTGTTCGAGAGTCTGGCCAGCGCCTGTGGCTTGTGGCTACTCGTGGTGGAACGGAACCAGGCACGGCAGAGTTTGGCAATGGGCATTTGGATGAAGTTCAGGCACAGCCTCGGTCTCCTGCTTCTCTGGACAGTGGCGTTTGCAGCTGAAAACTTGGCCCTGGTGTCTTGGAACAGCCCGCAGTGGTGGTGGGCGAGGGCAGACTTGGGCCAGCAGGTAAGGAACCTTATGGGGAGGAGGAGAAGCATTCATGGTTGAGAAGGACTGCGTGTCTGGACCTACTGGCTCCACGCTTTGGTATGACTCTTAAGAAAAAAGAAAGTCTGGCGCCGGCTGGAAACTGATAGCCAGCTTGTGGGGTGTGTCTGTGCTGAGTCACTGTGGATTTGTTTTTTTTTGTTTTTTTTTTTTTAAACCCTGTTGTTGGGCCCTGGGAGGGACCGGGGGGTTGTTATAAGAAGCAATAAAATAGTTTGGGTCCTTATGGGGAGGAGGAGAAGCATTCATGGTTGAGAAGGACTGCGTGTCTGGACCTACTGGCTCCACGCTTTGGTATGACTCTTAAGAAAAAAGAAAGTCTGGCGCCGGCTGGAAACTGATAGCCAGCTTGTGGGGTGTGTCTGTGCTGAGTCACTGTGGATTTGTTTTTTTTTGTTTTTTTTTTTTTAAAGCCTGTTGCTGAGCCCTGAGAAGGACCTGGGTGTTGTTATAAGTAGCAATACAATAGGTTTGGGCTCTGGTTCTTACCTGTGCACATGTTTCATTCTAGGTTCAGTTTACCCTATGGTTCCTGCGCTATGTGGTCTCTGGAGGGCTATTTGTCTTGGGACTCTGGGCCCCTGGACTTCGCCCCCAGTCTTACACTTTACGGGTTCATGAAGAGGACCAGGATGTAGAAAGGAACCAGGTATACTTCATTTTCTCAGTCCTGGAGTGTAATTTTTTTGGTGCTGGGGATAGAACCCAGCAGCTTGTGAATGTTAAGCATGTGCTTTATCACCAAGCTCCTCCCCGAGGGTCTCTGAATGCTGGGGCTTATTTTAATTTTCTTTCCTGTCATTCCTTTTCCCAAAGTTCTTTCCCAAAGTTCATTTTGTGACCCAGTGGCTTTTCTAGGCTCTCCAGGGATCACTTGGTCTCAGATACCTGCAAACTGTGGCCCCATACATTCTTCCCTGGAGGATTCCTGCCTAGTGTACTTCTGTTTTGTTTCTGAGCTCCTCTCCTGTATCATCATTTTAGGTTCCCTCAACAGACCCACGATCTACCTGGCGAGACCTTGGCAGGAAGCTCCGCCTACTGAGTAGCTACCTGTGGCCTCGGGGAAGTCCAGCTCTACAGCTGGTTGTGCTCATCTGCCTGGGACTCATGGGGTTGGACCGAGCACTCAATGTGTTGGTCCCCATCTTCTATAGGGACATTGGTGAGGGGATGAAGTGGTACAACTTAGCCTGGTGGTTGGGGTGGTCCTTACCTAGGGAGGTCATGCAGAATTGGGAGCTGGGTGATCAGAAAGGGGCTGTGGCTGGTGCCTGGCAGTTTTGCCTTAAGAGAATCCTTGGTCCTAGAAGTGGAACTCTTTTTATCCACAGTGAACTTGCTGACCGCCAAGGCTCCTTGGAGCTCCCTAGCCTGGACTGTTACAACCTATGTCTTCCTCAAGTTCCTCCAGGGGGGTGGCACCGGCAGTACAGGTATAATGGACTTTGTCCTTACCCTGTCCCTCCACAAGAATTTTCTCACTTTCTTGTCTCTTTGCTTATTCCTTCCCCAGGCTCCTTGGGCTCTTAGATTAGCATCTTGGTGTTGGGTTGATGTCCCTCAGCCCCCAAGACCTACTGAAGTTCTCCTGGCTCCCCTAGGCTTTGTGAGCAACCTGCGCACCTTCCTGTGGATCCGGGTACAGCAGTTCACATCCCGTGGCGTGGAGCTGCGCCTCTTTTCCCACCTACATGAACTCTCACTGCGCTGGCACCTGGGCCGCCGTACTGGGGAGGTGCTGCGGATTGTGGACCGAGGCACATCCAGTGTCACAGGACTGCTCAGGTGCCACACCAGTTGAGGAGGGTGTGCTGTGGAGAATAGACCCAGCATGAGCATCCCTGCCCCTCCAATCTTACTTTGTTTGGACATTTTGGCAAATTATAGGAAGAAGTATAATGCTGTCAAAATAACTCAGATAATGCAGAAAGCCCAGTGTGAGGCACATACATGTAATACCAGTACTTGGGAGGTGGAAACAGGAAGATCAGGAGTTCAAGGCCAGCTTCAGCCACATAATGAGTTTGAGGCTAGCTTGGACTACAGGAGACACTGTCTCAAAAAAAAAAAATGCAGATAGGAATCTGTAGAATGCCACTCACTTCTCCAGAGTTTCCCATTATGTTTAGTATGTACTCATCTGTATATCTGTGAAGACTTACAGGACTAATGTGGTATTGTGTAAGTTTCTTAAACCCAGTGATATCATGACATAGGTGTCTCTCTCAAAGTTGCTTTAACAAGCTGAGTGTGGTAGTGCATGTCTTTACTCCCAGCATTCTGGAGGCAAAGGCATGCAGATCTCTCTAAGTTCTGGGCCAGCCTGGTCTACATAGCAAGTTCCAGACCAGCCAGCCAGGGCTTTATAATGAGACTCTGTCTCAAAAAGAAAGAAAGAAAGAAAGAAAGAGAGAGAGAGAGAGAGAGAGAGAGAGAGAGAGAGGGAGGAAGGAGAAAGATTACTTTATCAATACAATGTTACAATGCATTTTGGATTAAATATATTTGAGTGTCATATTCAAGATCAAAGAAAGAAAGAAAGAAAGAAAGAAAGAAAGAAAAAAGAAAGAAAGAAAAGTTGTTCTTGCAGGAAGATCTCTCTTACTTCTGTGTTTGTGGTACTGAGGCTTTAACCATCTAAGACCTTGCACATACTAGGCAAACACTCTATATCCCAGCCCTTTCTTTACTTTTTATTTTGAGACACAGTCTCACTAAGTTGCCCAGGATGGCCTTAAACTATCGATTTTCTGCCTTAATCTCCTGAGGGCTGGGGTTACAAGCCTGTGCCACTAGGCCTGACTGACCATCTACTTCTTGAGGGATATTTAGATCAGTTCTATTCTGTTGCTGTTGAAAATGAAACCGTATACTGTAGTAAGTTCCTAGAGGTAAGATTGCGGGGTCTAAGCCCTCAAATCTTCTCTTGCTTGATGTGCCCTTCTAGCTACCTGGTGTTCAACATCATCCCCACACTGGCTGACATCATCATTGGCATCATCTACTTCAGCACGTTCTTCAACGCCTGGTTTGGCCTCATTGTGTTCCTGTGCATGAGTCTTTACCTCAGTGAGTGCTACCAGGGAGAAACAATCTCTGAACTATGCAGGGGCTCCCTTGACCATGAGCTGTGCCACACCCTCAGCTGAGTGACCTTCAGCAGGCTGAGGATTGGTAGACTTGAGGCCATGGATACTCCTGGCATAATGGGCAGGCCTCCTCCCCTGTCAAGTTGAACATTAGTTCAACCTAGCTGGAGGCCAGGGAAGGGCATCCATATCATACTAGGTTCTCACTGTGGTGGCAGGTCAAGGAAAAAATTTGTGTAGCAAAATGCAGCTTGCCTTCATGTGCTCACCAAAAGCATTTTCTATACATGGGTCTTTGTAGCGTACAAAGATGTCTTGCATGAAGCACCTTCCCTTCATGAATTTTCAGCTCTCCCTATGGGTCCATGTCCTGGTTTGGTTTATGAGGCATAGGATGTGGATACCTGTATTTGGTCTCTGCTATTGGAGATGATGTCTTACCCTTCCTCCCCCTCCTATCATCCTCCTCCAGTCCTGACCATTGTAGTCACTGAGTGGAGAGCAAAGTTTCGCCGTGCTATGAACACACAGGAAAATGCCACCCGGGCACGAGCAGTGGACTCTCTGCTAAACTTTGAGACGGTAACACAGGCCCAGAGGTTGTGGTGGGAGGCAGGAAGAGGTGGTGGAGAGTTTCTGGGACCACTGAGGTGACAGGGAGCTGAAGAGGATATTAGAAATCAGGAAGAAGGGGTCAGGACTCTGGAGAGAATGATCCCATAGCTGTGTGCTGTTTGAATCCATAAGGTGAAGTACTACAATGCCGAGGGTTATGAAGTGGACCGCTATCGAGAGGCCATCATCAAATATCAGGTAAGGTTGCTCATAAGAGCAGAAGCTGACCTGTGTCATTATCAGGGCTGAGAGGGCATGAGATCCAGAGGTGAAGTTGAAGATGCCTAGACCCAGATTGGGAATTGGTGATGGTCGGTCTATATGGGCCATTCCTTCCTCTTGTGTTATTAACCCTAGGGTCTGGAGTGGAAGTCAAATGCTTCACTGGTTGTACTAAATCAGACCCAGAACTTGGTGATTGGACTTGGGCTCCTCGCTGGCTCCCTGCTTTGTGCATACTTTGTCAGTGAGCAGAAGCTACAGGTGAGGCAGAATCATGAAAGAGAGGGTAGGAAACAGAAAATGGACTTGGGGTCCATGTGTGAGCCATCAGGCTCCTGGACAGGAAGTGGACAAAGTGACAGCAGAGCAACCTGCAAGCTCCCTGTGACACATTTGTTCCCCTGGGTCTCTCTACAGGTTGGGGACTTTGTGCTGTTTGGCACGTATATCACCCAACTGTACATGCCTCTCAACTGGTTTGGCACCTACTACAGGTAACCTGATTCCTGTCCACCTGTCCAAGGTGTGAAGCTATTTCCAAGCTCCTTGGGGGAGCACCAACCTTCACCCTTTTTGCAGGATGATCCAGACCAACTTCATTGACATGGAGAACATGTTTGATCTGCTGAAAGAGGAGACAGAAGTGAGTGATGAGGGGGGAGTGAGATTTGGGATAGTTTCTTGTATCTGGAGAATCCCAGGCCAGTAATGACAGCATACATTGGCTATGTTCTCCTAGGTGAAGGATGTTCCTGGAGCAGGGCCCCTTCACTTTCATAAAGGTCGGATTGAGTTTGAAAATGTGCACTTCAGCTATGCTGATGGGTAAGCCCTCCCTTTTTGCTTTTTATCATTTTCCCTTATCCATGTGTATGCTGCCTTCCTGCCCCTCATGAATCTCAGCTTTGCAACCTACTACTGTGGGTCAGGGGACAGGGAGAGCCTAGGCAGGAGAGGATAAAGACCAGCAGAAGCTCTGATGATAGGGTACCTACTGAACTCACCATACTCTCTTGCAGACGGGAGACCCTGCAGGATGTGTCCTTCACTGTGATGCCTGGACAGACCCTGGCCTTGGTGAGAGGAGACCTAGCTACTTGCCCCATGCTCCTTGAGCTTCCCTCATTCAGTGCCTATGATGGCTCATGATCCAGACTAGGCAGTCAAAACCTGGCTGTAAAGGCGACAAGATTGAATGTGGCAGATTTCTTGGATGTTGGTGGCCTCTTAGAGATGGAGCTTTAAAAGCCAGTGGACCTGAGAATTTTCTCTTGTTTTCAATGTAATAGGTGGGCCCATCTGGGGCAGGGAAGAGCACAATTTTACGCCTGTTGTTTCGCTTCTATGACATCAACTCTGGCTGCATCAGAATAGATGGACAGGACATTTCACAGGTAAGGTTGCTACAGAGAAGACTGTCATTTAGGGATCTTTGGAAGAACAGCAAGGGCTGGGTATCCTGACGGTATCAGTCTTGCAAAAAAGCTAGGGCCTTGCTTGGTCTGGTGATGCAGGCCTGAAATGTCAGCTACTCAGGGGGATCATAAGCCTTCCTGAGCTACAGATGAGTTATTCAAGGCCAACCTGAGTAACTTATCAGACCATGTCTCAAAAAAAAAAAAAAAAAAAAAAAACGGAGGAGAGCTGGGCTATAACTCAGTGGCCTCCCTAGTACCACCAAAATTTTTTTAAAAGCTGGGCCTTCCTAGTGTCATATGACAGCAGTCACAACAGCAAAGTAATCATGGGAATGAAGTATACAGTGCCATATGAGGTACAGATCTTCTGCAATAGTCTACAAAACAGGTAGAGGACATGTCTTCTGTTTATGAATGGGGAGGACTTGGTAAGGTCAAATGATTTGCCCATCTAGCTAGGATTTGCAGTGGCAATGACCAGGCTCTTACCCTAGGCCTCTCATCCCCTGCGCTTCCTGGCAGCCTATCCCCAAGCCTGGAGGGATCTCACAGGGCAGGATATACGGTCTTTTGGCCTCAGGTGACCCAGATCTCTCTCCGGTCTCACATTGGAGTTGTGCCTCAGGATACTGTTCTCTTCAATGACACAATTGCCAATAATATCCGGTATGGTCGTGTCACAGCTGGGGACAGTGAGGTGGAGGCTGCTGCTCAGGCTGCAGGCATCCACGATGCCATCTTGTCTTTCCCTGAAGGTGAGGTCCCTCTACAGAGTCCTTCCCCCTGCCCAGTATTGTCCTCTTAGTCCCTTGAACCCAGTTCCATCTCTTTCTTGCCCACCTGGCCACAGAAACCAAGTTTATTTACATGTGACTTGAGGGATGTAGTTTACTATCCACAGGGTATGAGACACAGGTGGGTGAGCGGGGACTGAAGCTAAGTGGTGGTGAAAAGCAGCGAGTAGCCATTGCCCGTACAATTCTCAAGGCTCCAGACATCATTCTGCTGGATGAGGTGAGGTCCTGACGCTTCCCTGACATTCTCTCATCTTTGCCCAAGCCACTTCTGCTGGACATTTTCCTTCCTTGCAAAGATATCACCAGTCCCTATATAGTTCACAAGCCCAAACTATTTCTGAGGCCACCACTAGCAGCTTGGATCCTCCTCCCCTTGGAGTCTGTGGGTGGCAAGAGCATTTCACCCAGGCCCTTTCTGTAGGCAACATCAGCATTGGATACATCTAATGAGAGAGCCATTCAGGCCTCTCTGGCCAAAGTCTGCGCCAACCGTACCACCATCGTAGTGGCACACAGGTACAGGACTACAGGGCTGGTGGGGCTGGCAGGGTGGGCCACTTTGGATGGGATGGTAGGTAACTGATGTCTGACCTCTTAGGCTTTCAACTGTGGTCAATGCTGACCAGATTCTCGTCATCAAGAATGGGTGCATTGTAGAGAGAGGACGGTGAGCCATGAAGGATGAATAGGGCAGGGGCTTCTGGAGGGGATCTCCCTTGTCCATCCCCTGTATTCTCTGAGAGACTGGTGTGAAACCAATGGGTTAAACTTGCCTCATCACCACAGACATGAAGCTCTGTTGTCCCGAGGCGGGGTGTATGCTGAAATGTGGCAGCTGCAGCAGCAAGGACAAGAAACAGTCTCTGAAGACTCTAAACCCCAGACTACAGCACAGTGACAAAAGTGACCTCTTTCCTTCCCAAGGCTAACTCAGGAGAATAAGATGTGTCCCTTTTCCCTGGCTTATTTCATCCTGGTCTAGGGGTTTGGTGCTAGCTTTTGTAAGGGAAAGGGACCTTTGAGAAAGCACTTTAAGGAAATAAAAATTGACTGTGCAAGGATGGTTGTGACTTGGTCATGTGGAATACTGCAAGGGAGAGGGAAAAGAAACATACCAGTCAGACATCTTACTCACCACCAAGGTCTTTACTCTTTCCATGCCCCTTCCTTCCCACTACATGCAGCAGCCCCAGGGAAAAGGTGATGACATGATGGGGGGGCTAGGAATAGAATCTAGCCAGCACCCACCAAAGCCCAACCAGGTAATGGACCCAACCACTCTGCAGCAGGAGAGCTGACAGGGCCTTTCCTAGGCATAGCTGCATAAGCCTCCTTCCTTGAGAGGCTCCCAAGTGGCCTCCACTTCACTCCTGCTTGTCTCTGTGTTCCAGACTGTTTTGTGCCTCCTCTGCATGTATACCCTGGGGGTGTGAGGGCCACAGTCCTCAGATGAGCCTCCTTCCCCAAGCCCAGGACCCTAGCACAGGCTGCAGTTGGACGGCTTCAAGCTGCGGCTCTGCGCCTGGAGCAAGGAGAGGAGAAGGAGGAGACAGGGTGCAAAGTCAAGGACAACAGAGGACAGGCCTCACTTCAGGGCTCAGCATGGGCTAGAGTCACTGGAAACAAAAGGATGACTGCATGCCAAAACTCTCTGAACACTTGGGGGAACCACCACCAATCTCTTATTCCCCACCAGAATACCCTATCCTTCCCCACTGTCCTCATACCTGCTGCTGTTGGTATTCTGCCTCACTGGCTGACAGTGCTTGTGCTAAAGCCAAGTCTTCTTCCTCCTGAGAACTGTGGAAGGAAGAGCTTAAGTTGATGACAATACCTAAAATTCGAGCATGTGATCTGACTGGCATCATGGTGATGAGTACCTCTTAAGTGTGACCTCAGCCCTTACAGTAATAACTGAGCAGGTGTTACCACTGTCACCATTGGTACAGAGAAAATCAAGGCCTTTTGGGTTAAAGAACTTGTCAGAAGTCATATAGTTATCTTAATTTTGAACCCAAGTTCTTAGCTATTCTCTTGCAGTGGGTTGGATTGGTCCCAGTTCCATCCTTCCAAACTCAGGTCTTATCCTCATCCTACCTTCTCTTTCACCAAAGTAAGTACCTTGGGACCTGGGGTTTGGTCTCTGCCAGGGATAATTCCAGGGCACGTTGCAGAGCCTCATCCTCACTCTGCAAAGGAAAAAAAAAAAAGAAAAAAGATCAGTGTCCTTGGACTTTATTCTGTGTAGGTTTCCTTCTGTCTATCCAACCTCTGAACCTCTTTCAAACTCACCAAGCCATTCTGCAAAGCAATCACTGGAGGGGCTGTCTGAGATTGAGACTGGGCTGTGGCTCTGTGGCAGATATGAAACAAACAGGCTGTAATCAGAGATAAGAAGAGGGTGGAAAGGGAGAGGAGAAACAGGCAAGCCTACCTGCTGGGAGAGGAAGAGGAAAGCATGGTCTGACTTGGGCTGGGGACAGTGCTTGTAGAAGCCAGACCTTGTGCTCTGGAGATCGCAGCAAGCCTGTAGGGAAAGAGACATTCCTGACATGCCTCTGAGAACATGCCTTATGGAAGTCAGGATGGGTGTTTTTCTCTAAACACTGGGAAACCATGCACTTTGAAAGGAGAGCAAGCTGGGCCTGAACGTGTAAAGCCTAATTCCAACTACTTGGGAGGCTGAGACAGGAACATTGAAAGGTCATAGACTATATAGGCTACAGATTGAAGTTAAGGCAAGTCTGGGAAACTTAATGAGATCTTTTCTCAAAGAAGTAAAAAGAGGCCTAGAGTATCTCACACCTGTAATTCTAGAACTCAGTACTCCAGAGCTGAGGCAAGAGGATTGCCACAAATTTGGGGCCACTCTGGGCTACAAAGTCAGAACCTATCTCAAGCCAAAAAGGGCCAGGGCAGTAGCCCAGTGGTAGCACGCTTGACTATCAGGTACAAAGCTCTAGGTTCAATTCCCAGTACTGCAAACAAAAGAATATAAAGCATAAAAATTCCCCTGGTCAAGGCAGACATGACTGAAACAAGGTAAGTAGAATACTTGGTGGCAGTTACCCTGCTCTACTGGTCGGGTGCCCCTCCCCAGAGCAATCATGGTCCAGTGGGTGACGATGCTTGATGCAGAAGTTTCGACCACAGCAGTCACAGGTCAGTTTCATCATCTCCCGCTGCCGGCAGCCTGAACGCTCACACTTATTGGTGAAGATCTGAGATGAAGCAGGGTTTGTATTTGAGACCCAACTCCTCCAGCCCCATTACTGCAGCTAGCTGTCCAGGTTTCCAGGCATCAGCATTCAAAGCTGGGTTATGACTTAACTTCTCTATCATTTACCTTGCGCTTTTGTTGTGCTGGATCAGAGCGACAGTCTCTGTCAATGTGTTCTCCCACAGCTCGGTCAGGGGGCTCCCCTCTGGCCCCTGGCACAGGCGCATTACAAAGGGGGCATACAGGTACCTGGATATCCTACAGTCAAGAGGCAGGAGTCAGTCTGTGGCCCAACAAATCTCTGGTCCTTAAAGAACCTGGATATTCCACTCATGAATGCACAAGAAAACGAAGTTTCCCACTACCAAGGCTCAGAAAGACAATAGTAACAGAAGGGAAAATGTGAAGCAGACAGATTTCTGCATGCATCTGCATCCACCTCCCCACCCTACAACCACCCCTTTCACCCTCAATCGCCCCCTCACCTTTTGGTAAGCTGATCCACAGTGATGCTGGGCATAGGCCACATGGTCTGCGCAGAAGATGCCGGAGCAAGCATCGCACTTGAGCGGCAGAAAATCTACAAACAGTAGGTCGAACTGCTCGCCCAAAGGGACCTGGATGTCCTTCTCTCACTCAAGGTTGCCATTCAAGATAGGAAAAACTCCGCCCTATTTGCAACACACTGCACCCCTTCCCAAGGCCACTATCTCCTTGGCCACGCCCCTAGGCACCGCCCCCAGCTTCGAGCTCCGCCCTTCTGGCATTTCCAGCTCCAGCAAGCACCCTCTCTTTCCCACCTGCGGTCCCCAGCCCCATCCGTTCGGCCTCGTCCCCCGCGCGCTCCGCCCCTCACCCAAGCGCTGACAGCTCGGCTCGGAACAGTGAGCCCCGAGATCCGGAAACTCCATCGCCGGACCGTTGCAGGGCCTGCTGCGGGGAAGAAGCGAGCGCTGAGCGTGCCAAGGCCTCTTGCTCCGGGTCGGGATCGCGACCCAGCAACTCTGGGGGGCTCTCCGCCCCGCCCCTTCCTCTCCCCCGCCCAGCACAGGTTACCGAAGCCTTCGTGCCAGCAGGCCGGCAGCCCCGAATCCTCCTCCCGAGGGCGCGCGCGCTCTGACGTCATCACGCTGGGCGGGCCCGGCAGGCCGCAGACCGAGTGTTCCAGCAGAGCTGCTCCCCTGGGTCCCGGCAGCTCCGGCCTCTGAGATCTTGGCCGCCAGTATAGCTCGGAGAAGAGTCTTTCTGAGTCCTCAGTGATGAGCAGGTGCACAGTGAAGCTAAGACGGATGCACCTAGAGGCAAGGGTTGGGGTGGTTTGGAGGCTTTCGCAGTCTTTTGATCTGTTTTTCATTGCGTTCCCTCCTCTGGCCATTTCTCTAGGCCAAGGCTTCCCCAGTCTCTGTATGAAGTGACAGCTACCCCAGATTACTCTCCAGGGTTCAGCTTTGATGCCCATCCTCTTAAGACTTCCCTGACTCCTGTCAGTCTGACCTAGGGACATATGCAGTGTTATGTGATCTCCATCCTTCCATTCCAGCACACAGGCACCTCTGAAAACAGCTGATCCCCAGTTCCCTACACACACAAATAGACTGGAGAGGGCTGGTGAGATGGCGCAATCTGACTATCCGAGTTCTACCCGTCGAACCCACAATGGAAGGAGAGAGCCATCTCGGGGTAGCTGTCCTCTGACCTCTACACGCCCGTACTCATACATACACACTAATGATATAATTTTTTTTAAGTAGTGGGGAAGTCAGGGACCAAGTCCACCTTGTTTTGTGTTGGGCCCAGCACCCAACAGTGCCTGGAATACAGAGGTCTCAGATGTCAGTGTGAAGCATAATCACCTGCAGAGCTAGTTTAAAATAGATTCCTGGGCCCTAGGACCTCAGGAGGAAGCACCTGAAGAAATTTTAAGACAGATTGCTCATATACCACACTTGGAAAAACATTAGCATATTCTCAGTGTTAACTGCCGTGCTTTTTGAATGATGTGTGGTAGTCATTAGGCTGGTGTCTGTCTTTACCTTAGGAACCAGAAGATGGAGACCTTCCTGGCTCAGCACGCTTTTCTTCTCACATGCCTCTGGACACTTCTGTTTGGGATTGGTGATCACTCAATATCTTCTCATAGGCTTAGGCAGGGAGGCCAGTCCTGCTGGGTGTGGCAGCTGATATCTGTGAGTTCAAGACCCGCCTGGTCTACTTAGTGCCTTCCAGGACAACTGGGGTACAGGGAGGCCCTGTCTTAAAAAAAAAAAAAAAAAAAAAAAAAAAAAAAAAGTCAGTCTCTAGCTTTCCATCTTCCCCTTTATCTCCAACTTTTGGTTTTTCTGTGTGTCTGCTTCTTACATCCTCACACCTCTAAAGCCGGTAGAAATTAAAAATCATCTTTCCTGGATCCTCAGCTCTGACTACCCAATAGCCTTGACTTCTGTCATCTGCCAACTTATGTTCATGTCACACCTATATGCATGTTAATTGAGGTCAAGGCTTTAGTAAATGCTCTGAGATGGAAATACCCAGGCTGGACAAGCCATTAGGGCTCATAGGAACTGTCTGCTGCAGAGAAAGCTGGGGTCAGAGATGGGTCTGGCAGATGCGGGACAGGGCACTTCAAGCATCTGATACATGTGGTTAATCAGATTCTTTCCTGGTTTGGAATCAAGGCCAAGAGAATCAGTGTTCATAATAAAGTTAGGTCTTTAACATACAGTGTATGGAATGACCATCTGCCACACTGAAATACCTCTGCCTCCCAAGTGCTGGGGTTAAAAGTGTGTCTCACCATGTCTGGTTTAAGTCATCATCTGACTCTTTTGTCTCTTCTCAAAGTCTGTGACCCCCAGGAAAACGATGGCTATTGATTTCACCTTTCCCCACCCTCTCTCTTTCTCCTCTTTTCTCTTTTGGTGGTGGTGGTGTATTTGTGTGTGTGTGTGTGTGTGTGTGTGTGTGTGTGTGTGTTACATGCACATGAGTATGCAAAATACATGTACCCAAGAAGAGGCGACAGCGGACATTGGATATTTTTCTCTTTTGCTTTCTACCTCAATGCCTTGAGACAGGGTTTTTCACTGGGCTGGAAGCCTGCCAGCAAGCTCTCAGGATCTGCCTATCTCTGTCTCCCCTCTCCTGTGAAAGAAAAAAAATTCAAACTTACAAAAATGACTGTTCTCTTTTTCAAATATGCTACTAGTATTTTTCTAATATGCCTACTTCACCATCATTTGATACTCTTAGAAAATTTAAATTTTGTCACAGTATGTTTGCCTGCTTCCTACTGATAAAAGCAGTTTATAGCTCTATAACATTAACTTGCATAAACTGATAAGGTGCCCCCAAAAGGCAATAACTCCAAATACATTATGAGGCTTTTGTTTATTTTGTCCCCTGTAAAATATTAATCAGTATATAAACTAGTAATTAAAATATTTATTGACAAACATATTTCCAGAAAATGTTAAGAATTTTTGTATTCCTTTTCAGTTCCCTTATTAATGATTAAATGTTTATTTTTTTAATATTTTATTTATAATTTTTATGTGTATGAGTGTATTGCCTGCATGTATGTGAGTGCACCCATGTCATGCAATGCCGCAGGGGTCAGAAGAGGGCTTCAGATTCCTCTGGAACTGGAGTTGATGGTTCGTAGCCACCATGTGGGTGCTGGGAATCAAACCCAGGTCCTCTGCAAGAGCAATCAGTGCTCTTAACCGCTGAGCCATCTCTCCAGCCCCAATTAAAATGTTTATATGTACATGCTATCTTTTTTTAAAGACAGTCTTGCTCTGTAGCCCAAACTGGGCTTGAACTCCTGGCAATTCTCTTGCCTCAGCCTCTTGAGTATTGGGGTTACAGGCTTGGGCCACCATGCTCAGTTCCTGCTATCCATTTGGATGAAAACTTATTTCTGCTTTGAAATTATCTGTGACATTGATTTTTTGTGTATTTCATACAGAACATCTTAATCATTCATCTTTAAACCCCCTTCCCCATTGGTCCCTTCCCATAGTGCCCCCCACTGGAATTCATACATTCTGTCATTTGTGTTAAGGCCTATCATGTCAAGTTAGTGTCCCCAGACATCCCTCAGTGTAAGTTTATCCACAGAGTCTAATCAGCCTATCTAGAGTCCCTCCCTTTAAAAAGATTGGCTCTTAGGCTGGGTGTGGTGGCACACACCTTTAATCCCCAGCACTTGGGAGGTAGAGGCAGTCAGCTCTCTGTGAGTTCAAGGCCAGCCTAGTCTACATAGTGAGTTCCAGGCCAGCTGGGATTGCAGGGAGACCCTGCCTCAAAAAGACAGAAAAAAAAAAAGATCGGCTCTTCCTCACCCAGCAGTAATCAGCTGCCAATAGTTCCTCAGCTAAGATTGGGGCCTACTGCCTATTTCCACAGTTCTGTTCTGGGTTTTTGTCTGCTTGAGTTTGCATGGGTTTTGTGTATGCTGACACCATTGCTGTAGGTTCTTATGAGAAGAGTCCCAGGAGCCTGTAGGACTGTTTCTGTATGGTCATACGCCTCCTCCCTGGCTCTTACAATCTTTCTGCCCCCTCTTCCAAAATGATCCCTGCACCCTGGGTAAGTGGATTTTAATATAGGAGTCCTGACCAAGGGACCCACACTCTGTATACTCTTATTCTCTACATTTTGGCCATTTGTGACCTTTTGTGTTCCTGACTCTTTCTTGCCTGAGGGAGCTTCATTGATGTGAATTGAGAATTAGTGTTCTCTTTATCCCTTGTTCTATGTTCTGTGAGTCTTAGGTGTAGAGGTTGCATTGTAGATGTGCCATTTAGGCTTGGGCAATTCACAGACAATCTCTGTATATGACCAGTTGTGGAACTCTGTAATAATCTCCAGACAGTCTTTTTTTTTTTAATCACAAGTGGAACCAGGCGGAGAAAATGAGCCAATACTCTAAATGTCAGAAAAGACATGTAGCGAAAATCCAGTCATTGATATGTTGACCAACCCTGGATATAACATCTGTGCTCTTGTTACTTAAGTGGATAAATGTCTTGTTTACAAGGGTTTGCAACCCCAAACTTAATAAAACTAAGTATTTGATTTGCTCAGTTGAAATTCTTTATTGATTTACCAAGATGGTGGCTTTGATGGTAGCTGTAGAATGATAATCTCTGCAACTGTGGACACTCTTCACATCACAGGTCTAGGACTCCCCATATAATGTTATTATACTGACTTTTTTTTTGGTCTTTTTGAGACAGGGTCTCCCTGTAGTCCCAGCTGGCCTGGAACTCACTATGTAGACCAGGCTGGCCTTGAACTTTCAGAGATCCATCTGCCTCTGCCTCCCGAGTGCTGGGATCAAAGGCGTGCGCCACCATGCCTGGCTCTATTATACTCACTTTTTAAAAAATGTTTTACTTATTATTTTTATTTTATGTCTATGTGTGTATTGCCTGCATGTGGGTAATTGCACCCATGTCCTGCAATACCCACAGAGGACCGAAGAGAATGTTGGAGTTCCTGGAACTGGAGTTACAGTTGTTAGCTGCCATGTGGGTGCTGGGATTCAAGCCCGGGCCTTCTGCAAGAACAGTCAGTGTTCTTATCTGCTGAGCTCTCTCTCCAGCCCCCTATTATACTCACTTTTAATTAATTAATTGAAACAGGGTCTCACTATGTAGCCCTGGCTGCCCTACTCACTATATAGACCAAGGTGACCTTAAACTCTCAGATATCTGCCTGCTGCTGCCTGCCAAGAACTGGGATTAAAGGTGTGCACCACCACACCTGGCCTAGCTTTTATTTTAAATAACTTCCCAAAGTTTATTTACTTATTTTTTATTGAGGATTGAATCAGAGGACTTTGGTTGTGCTAAGCACACTATCACTGACCTACATCCCTAACCACTTATTTTAATAAATAACTTCCAGACTTTATTTTACTTTTTATTATTTATTTATTTATTACTTTTGGTGTCCCTGGGTGGGAATGAAAATTTTCATATTTTAAATAATTATTTCCAATTTAAACAATAATTGGTTGGTGTCAAAGAGTTAAATTTCTTCATTTTCACCCTACATTCATCAGTGGCTTTAGGATTATAGGCTTCCAGTTAGAGAAGACTTGATGGAGCAAAACTAAGATGAATACTACCTCATTCCCTTGTCCCACTATATGAATGCCTGAAGGCTTGGGGAACAACAACAACAAAAAAAAAAAAAATAAGTTCTCTTGAGCATGAGCCAAGAGATGTACGTTTGTTTGAGGGATTTTTTTGGTAGTTTTTGTTTGTAGTATCGGCAATGGAACATAGTACCTTACATATGCTAAGCAAGCATTCTACTAATGAGCTTATACCCTAAGTCCCCTGCAAGAATATTTTAATTGGCCAGAATGGACTTACCTGAACTAGAGACTGAAGCTCTCAGTCTCTTCTTAGACAGTGTTTCCCTACTGACAGATTATAGTTCACACAGATCTGTGTGCTGATTAGCTCTGGCTGGTACTATCTTCCCTAGATTCAATGAGGATACACAAACCAGTCTCCATTTCCCAACCCATAGCTTGAACGTAGTCTCCTTGGTTCCTGAATAAAGAAGAATGCTGAAGGGAATCTAAAAATTTGCAACTTGCACAGCTGTTTCAGAAGATACAGTTAACAACTGAGCAGAGCTAACTCTTGCCTTTTGTAGACAAAGCATACCTGGATCAGCTAAACAGATCTCTGCAGCAGCTCTACTAGCAGTAACTTGCAGCTTCTCCTTGGAAGAGCAAACACTGGCTCCTTTAAACATTAGCAGGTAGAGTCATGGCCTAAAGTTTGTAATTTCTGCAGGTTTAAAGCAGACAAGATCAAAGTGAGGATGACCAGCAAGGCTGTCTTGCCCTCAGTTCTCAAACTGAGAATGCAAGAGATTGTTATTTACTTAAAGAGATAAAATCTGAACCCCTATTTTTGTATTGCCTTCAGTCCTATGTTCTTTATATTATACATCATCAGCTTCCCCAAATCTACTTACTCTATGATGTCCTTAACAACTGAAAAAGGAGTTGTTATTTGTTGTGACAGAGATGGCCTGGAGCTTGTAATCCTCCTGCCTCGGCATCCCTAGGGCCGGGATTACATACAAGTGCTACCACACCTATCTTTTTAAAGGGTTCGTTTTGGTTCACAGTTGTAGTCTGAGATTGAGGGACCCACATCTGGTAAGGACCTTCTTGCTGGCAGAGTTCCAGGACTGCAAGAGGCAGAAGTACAGAAAAAATTTAGCCACACTTTTTTTTTAAACATAATCAATCTTGAGATAATTCATTAGCTATTAATCCAGTTCATGAGGACACAGCCCTAACCAGCTCTTAAAAGGTCCAATTTGGGCACACTACTTCCTTTTTGTCTTTTTCTTTCCTTGAGAGAGGGTTTTACTATGTAGCTCTGGCTGGCCCAGAAATCATGATAGAGACCAGGCTGCCCTCAAACTCACCTCCTTGCTGCTTACCTGTCCCTGCTCTTAAAGAATAAGTCACAGATGGTCAGGAGGAAAGTAATGTGTTCTGAATGTCAAGAAGTGAGCAAACAATTACACACAGCCATATGTGGTGGTAGTTACTTATAATCCCAGCAGTTGGAAAACAGATGTAGGAGGATTTTGAAGTCTAGTAGGGATACAAAGTGAGTTCAAGGCCACCCTGAGCTATACAATGAGACCTTATTTCAAAATAAAACATAAAAGGAAAACAAAAGACAAAAACAAACACAATGAAAACCACAGTGAGAATTACAAAATTTTTTCTGTGGTTGGCATATCTAATTAGGGGAGGAAATGGGAAGAAATATGAAGGTGGACAGCCAAGTAACTTTTCCTATTTTCTTTTTTTTTTTTTGAGACAGGGTTTCCCTGTAGCCCCAGCAGGCCTGGAACTCACTATGTAGACCAAGCTAGCCCAAACTCACAGAGATCTGCCTGCCTCTGCCTCCCAAGTGCTGGGATTAAAGGCATGTGCCACCATACCCAGCTTTTTCCTATTATTTTCAATTCAGTGTGTTTATAAACATCTACACAAACATGGCAAAACTAGTACTGAAACCTCTTGATTTTAAACTTAGTATACTTTCCATATAGCCTGGGGGCAGTTTAATTTAGATCAATGGCTCTCATGCAAGGACAATCTTGCCTTCAGGGGACATTCGGCAGTGTCTGGAGACACTTTGCTTGCTGTGAGAGCAGGGGCAGGTGTGGAGTGAAGGGGAGGGAGTTACTGGCATCTATTCAAGTGCACAGAAGCCAAAGCTGCAGCTAAAGATTCAGAAACAGGAGAGCCACAGCCATCACCAAAGAACTGTCTGGCTCCAAATGTCAAGAGAAGCAATGCTGAGAAACCCTGACTTAATGAAAAAAAAAAAAGCCAGGCAAGATAGCATACACTTGTAACCCCACAATTGGAGGGCTAAGACAGGGGGATTGTCAAATATTAGGGGCAAGCCAGAGCTATATATGAAATTTCAGGCCACCAAGAACCACACAGCAGACCTTGTTCAAAAACAAAGCACCACAGAGCTGGGCCACAGTTCAATTAGTAGTGCTTGCCTAGCATGCTTGAAGGCAGAGTTCGAGCCCTAGCACCACATAAACAAAGTTTGGTGGCACAAGCTGGTAATCCCAGAGATTGGAAGGTGGAGGCAAGAGAGTCAGAGATTCAAAGTCATCTTCAACTACAAAGTTGAGGCCAGCCTGAAATACAGAAGTCCCTGCCTGAAACAAAAATATAGAAACAAAACAACAAAACTCCTGGAGCCATTATTGTACTCTAGTGAAGTAGTGGGCACCTGTATTCTATAGGCCTAGCTTCTCGAAAGGCTGAGGTGGGAGGATTCAGGAATATGAATCCTTGGCTAGTCTGGAACTTGCTTTGTAGATAGACCAAGCTGACCTTGGACTCACAGAGATCTGCCTGTCCCTGCCTCCCAAGTGTTGGAATTAAAGGAGTGTGCCACCATTCCTGGCTGAGCAAAACCCATCTTTTTTTGTGTGAGTGTATTGCCTGCATGTGTATAAGTGCACCCGCATTGTGCAATACCGGCAAAGGTCCAAAGAGGATGTTGGAGTCTCCTGGAATTGGAGTTACAAACAGTTGTTAGCCACCATGTGAGTGCTGGGAACTGAACCCGGGTCCTTTGCAGGAACAGCCACTGTTTTTAACTGCTGAGCCAACTCTCCAGCCCCAAAAAACCCTTCTTAACAGAAAACTGGAGTTGAGCTGGTGAAATGGCTCCTCAGGTAAAGGCATTTGCTGCCCAAGCGTGATGACCCAAGTTCTATCCTGGGAACCCGAGTAAGAAAGATGGATTTGGTGATGTGCATCTGTAATCTCAGTGCTCCTCTAGGGAGAGGACAGGCAGAGACAAGAGAATCAGCCAGAAGCTTGAAGGCTAGACAGCATGGAGTATACAGTGAGACCCCATCTCAACATGGTTGAAGGTGAGGACTCCAGAAAGTTGTCTTTTGACATCTATGCTTGAGCCATGGCATGAGTGTGCCTGCATTCACACCACACCACACCATACCACACACACACACACACACACACACAAAACAAAAAAAAACAAACTGGAGCTATTTTGACAGAACTTAAATCTTGGTGCCAGTAATTACTAGACACGATAGAAAACAACCCCCACTCCCATCTCCCAACTATTCTGTTGTATCTTGGCCAGAAAACTAAATTCTATCTAGCACCTTTATCTACCCAAAGCTACTCAAAGATTTAATTTCTACTTTCTGAAGCCATACTGACAAACCTTCAAATTTTGAAGGTAGTTGATATGATCCATCTCATCTTTTTGCATGGAGTAAACATTCCTGATTCTTCAAGAATTCTACCTGCAATACTCAGCTTTCACTTAACCTGTCCATAGTACAGAATTCTTTTTTGAAGAATGTTTTTCTACTAAGGCAGACAAGTTACACTATTAGCTATTTGCATACATAACTAAAACGCACTGACCCCACCCTCAACATAAACATGTAGCCTTCTCACACCAGCCTTTTTTTTTTTTTTTTTTTTTTGGTTTTATTGAGACAGGGTCTCCCTGTAGCCCCAGCTGGCCTGGAACTATGTAGACCAGGCTGGCCTTGAACTCACAGAGGTCCATGTGCCTCTGCCTCCTAAGTGCTGGGATTAAAGGCATGCCACCATATCCAGCACTTTTTTTTCTTTTTTGAAACAAGCTCCCTAAAGTAGCCCAGACTGGCATCAAGCTCCCTATCTCCAATCCTTCTGTCCTGGTCTCTTGGGTGCTGGGACTACAGGCATGGGCTACCATGTCTGGCTCTTAAACTGTACTTCCTGTGATTTTTGTGTTGTGTAATTTAGGTTTCACATTTCTACTCATTTTTTTCTTTTACTCAGGAAAAGCTTTCTTCTTGTGCCTTTCATCATGGAGAACAAATCGGCCAGAACACCTGGTGGTGGGAAACATCAGACAAAAGCATGTAGAAACTGTCAAACACGGTAAATGCAAGGAATTCACACAGGAACTTAAAATCTATGACAACTTTGCTCAAGCTATGAGTGCTATGAGTTCTGGTTCTGACTTCAAACTTTGAGATTAACAAGGATTAAGGCATTGAGCAATAGCTCTTTTTGATTGGTTAATTTCTTCAGGGACTGCCTATTGGTTATATTTGCATTTTCTTCTGAAATCTCTAAATTAGTTCATGTTCCTTCAGTAGCACAGAACAGGCCTCAGTCAACACTGATACTCTCAGGCAAATGTGGAACACATGGAAAATTCTCATAGGCTATGGTATAGAAGCCCACCTCAGAGATGGGTGGCTTGCCACACTGTACCTGCAGCTGAAGGTTCAAAGAAACCATTTGCTCAGTTCTGGGATGTTTCCCAAAAGTGGAAGGTCTGCCAAGAATCCACTCTTCACAAAGCCAAGCTATTAGACTGGTTAAGTTCCTGGTGTCTTCCCATGTGCCCATCAATGGACAGCAACCTACTGTTTGCTGGGACCATTGGGTTTGGATCATGACTCCATTATTGGCCTTGTGGCCTGCAGGAGTTAAGCAATTTAAAAATGGAATTGACAGCAGCTGTTTGTGGTGAATTTTTTTTTTTTTTGAGAGAAGCCCTCCCAGGCCTCAATCCTTTTGCCTCATCCTCCTCCCTAGTGCTGGGATTACAGGTGTGAGCCACTATGTCTGCCTATAACACAATGTATTTTCAAAGTTGAGGAAAAGCTAGGCCTGGTGGTACACACCTTTAATTCTAGCACTTGGGAGGCAGAGGCAGGAGGATCTCTGTGAGGTCAAGGCCAGCCTAGTCTACATAGTGAGTTCCAGGCTAGCTGGGGCTGCAAGGAGACCATCTCAAAAAGACAAAAAAAATTAAAAGTTGAGGAAAAAAACAAACCATACATTAGTACATATAGACCAACTCAGAACAATGCCAAAATACATATCACATTTAAAAGATGTTAAGATATTTAGTGCCTTGGCCTGAAATCAGTTGATATGAATATACAGTCCTCTACTGCTGGTTAGTAGGCCTAGTACACACATCAAGAATGAGCTGTTAGCAGGTAGATAGGTGACTTATGACAGTCTTAAGTGCTTAGGCATACATTAAACAGTTATAGCTCCACATTTCCATTGATTGGGAAGACAAGGCAATTCCTCCTGCATATACTTTATTCACACATGCTAAGTCTTACTAAAAGTATCATACAGTCAGAGAAGATGATTGAGGGGCAGTTAGGTTTGTAAGGGTAATCCTTGCTTCTGGCTTTGTTTTGAACCAAGGTAAATAAACAGCCAGGAGCAATACTGGAATAAAAGGGTGACACGGGGACAAAGTGCAGTGTGGGAGGCAGCTCACAGTGAGGCAGGCAGGCAAGCAGGCATGTTCTAGCCAATCAACACTTTATTTTTCCAGTTAACACCTACACAGATGTTACTCTCTACTTACTGACCCTAGAAGAGATCCCCACCAAGGCCCAGAGTAGTTTCCTTCTGCCTCTCTAGATAGTAAGGAAGTCCCTCACTTCAAGACAGAGTGCATGCTCACCAACCCCTGTGCTAGCAAAAGTGCTGTGGGACCCTGCTGTCCTGCATCATGAGGGCAAAATTGGGCAAGGGTGCAGTGTAGGTTAGAGGCTACAGTGACCTAAGTACAGAACTTCTGGCCTGACCAGGTTTATTCTTTATTTTTCAGACCAGAAGCTACCCTAAAACCTGGCCAGAACCTGTAGGAAGAGAAGCTGGCAAAGGACAGGGATTAGACTGCTAAGGACAGGACATAGCAGGTAGATAAAGCCAAGGGGAATGTAGGACAGGAGAATAAAATTATAAAGTGCCTGAACTAAACAACCAAGTGGGACATGAGGACAGAGCAGCATAGGTCCCTGAGGATAGGAAGAAAAAGGGTAGACCACCAGGGCTTGGGACATCATGGAATGAGAAGAGATGAGGCAGGGAGGCAAGAGCAGGCTGTAGAAGGACTTCCCTAGCCTTGATCACATCCACTAACCCAAATGGAAAATTATTTACAAACTTAAAATCAATCCTAGGTACAGGTACTGTCTGTACCAGGCTCAGGATGGCTGGCAGGCAGGCAGGTAGGCAGGCAGAGAATAGGCTGGCTACCTTCTGATAACCAGCTTCTCCACACATAGCCTCACCCGAGTGATAGGGAGAGGAAAAATGTGATATCCCTAGCCAGGAAGCCCTACTATGCCTGCAGCTTGTACTGCCATGGATCATGGCTCTATCATTTCATGAGCCTCTTGGTCTGACTGTACCAGAGAATGTGTATCTGGCCCCAGGGGAGGAGAAAGTGGAGCATCAGGGGGCTTTGGAGGTGTCTCTGGTCCCAAGCCCAGCTCTGCATTCAGCTGCTCCAGTTCCCCTTGATCCAGCAACTCAAAGTCCTCTGTGGTGAGTGCCTCTTCCTCCTCAGGGGCAGGAAGGGGTTGGGGTGAGTCCTGGGGAAGGGATGGGAGCACAGAGGGGGAGAGGTGGGGGACTGGGCCACTTTCAGTAAGGCAAAGTGGGGGTGTGAGGGTGCTGGGTGGAGCCATTAGGTCACCACTCACTGCCTCTGAGCTCAGCATCTCAACTGGTCCTCCAAGAGAGCATTTAACTCCATCCTGGGGGGACCCTGCCCCATTGAAGTGTGTGTTCACAAAGTGAAGAGGTGATGAGAGCCGAAGCAAGGTTTCCTTAACTGATGAGTCTTCCTCTGCCATATCCAGTGCTTGTCTTGAGAGGGTCTGAGGGGCACTTAGGAGGTCTTCAGAAGGGGCCAGCTCTGTCTCTTCCCCCTCCCCCACCTCCCTGCTCAGAGCCTCTTCTGGCTCACTTGGCAAGCTCTGCTGGTCCAAATCTGTGCAAAGAGCAGAAGGTTAGAAATGGTTCTGTTTCTCTGATTGGCCATGAAACCCAATGAGTTACAGATGATAATTTGAGAAGTCAGGCAATGGTGGCACATGCCTTTGTAACCCTAGCACTTGGGAGGTAGAAGAAAGAAAATCTGGTGGTTCAGGTCATCTTTTGCTACTTCAGTGAGTTCAAATGGGAGCTAGCCTTCGATACATCAGTCTTTAAAGAAAAAAAAAAAAAAAAAAGCCTGGTGTGGTGGCACATGCCTGTAGTTCCAGTACTCAGGAGGCAACAGGGAGACCCTGTTTCAAAAAGATTTAAAAAAAAAAAAAAAAAGATGGGAATGCTACACTAGATCAGTTGCTAAAGTTTTTTTGTTTTTGTTTTTGAGACAGGGTCTCCCTGTAGCTCCAGCTGGTCTGAAACTCACTGTGTAGACCAGGTGGCCTCGATTTCACAGAGATTCATCTGTCTCTGCCTCCACTGAGTGCTGGGATTAGAGGTGTGTACTACCACGCCCAGCTGAGAAAGTATTTTTGGAAGTCAGAGAGCACTACCAGAACCCCAGGTCAGGGAACAGAAAGATCAAGAGGTGCAAAGAATTCTTCATACCCTCAGAAACATCTGTCAGTTGTGGAGTTGTGGCTCTGGATACAGAGAAGCCTCCACTCTCCAAGATAGAGGCCTCCTCATCTGACAGCTCCGAGTCTGTAATAGCCAAGGCCAGTGCTGTTTTCTTCACATCCACCTGCAAGAGAACCAGGATTAACAGAAAAGGGTAAGAACACTTATCCTCACTCCTTGGCTCCCATCTACCTGAGAGGTGGCCGCTCTAATCTCCCCAATTCCCTAGCCTCTTTGGTTTTTTTCAGACAGGGTCTTATGTAGCCTAATCTGGCCTCCAATTCATAATAAAATCCAAGCTGGCCTTGAACTCCTCATCCCTCCTGTTTCCACCTCTCAAGTGGGATTGCAGGTATGTGCCACCATGCCCTCCTTCCTTTGAGCCTTCTATTTGTCATCCCATCTCCCCTAGACCTCACCACTGGGGAGAAGCCAGCCAGCTCTGCCTCACTTTCACTTTCTGTTTCGGCCAGTGGCTCACCACCTCCTGGGGGTGCATTCTTCCCTTGTCGCTCTAGAGAAGAACAGAACAGTAACAAGCAAAGACAATGGTAGAGGACAAATATGGTGAAGGAATTGGAAATTATGTAAATTTCAGGACATATCATAATCTATAAGCAAAGGCCCCAACTTTCACCCTTCTGGGTTAAGAGAGCTCCTTACTTCTCTTGTCATGTTTGTGATGCAGGGCATCAGCTTCTGCTTTCATGCTGTAGTCCAGCTGCATAAGCAAGGGCTCCAGGCGAGTATACATCCTCTGGATCAGTTCATGATAAACCACCAGGGGCCACAGCAGGATACTCAGCACTAAGGGTTGGAAAGTTCACTCAGAGCTCACTATGCCAGTTTCCTAAGAGCCTTCATTCAAATGGATCCTGAACAGGAAGGTCTGAACAAAGATGAGGTTCTGTCACAAGGATCCTCTTCCCTCCACTATCCACTACTCTTCTCCCCAGATGTATAACTGAGCAGAGAAAATGCAATCTTTCTTTCTTTTGGTCAATGTAGGGAAAGACAAATGGAGAAAGCTTTTGGAAAGGGCAGGGCTGGCCCCTACTCACAGACAATGTAGGAAATCATAATCCCTGGAACATAGTGTCCCAACACTGCTAGCACAGCACAGCCAGAGCAGACTCGAGCACAGAACTGCAGGGAAGAACAGAGGGTCTATGAAAAACATTGGGCTAAGCCATGTGTCCTAGTCATCTAAGTAAGAAATTACTGTTCATCTGGTGCAAGGATAGGAATTTCCTCTAGGAATTCAGTGATCCAGTCTAGTCAGATGCTCAAGCCTACCAATTTAGAAATTTACAATAGACACTCTTCTCTCATCCCCTCTGGCTCAAGAACTGCTAGAGAATGTGAGGGAAGTTTACCTGAGCTGGATTCTGCCTCTTGTACTGCAACAGCTCTTGCAGGTGAATCTGGAAGGTGAGCCAGCTCTCAGCCAGGTATCTGCACAACTCGGGCACACTCAGCAGGTGCGGCTGGGCGCCTGACCCCGCACCCTCACTGGGGAGACATGACATGACCCCTGGAAGCCTCAGACACCAGCTTTCTAAGGCACTCAAGTCGTTCTGAGATTGCTGAACTCTTCAGTCTAGAGAAGTGGAAAACTGAACAACCCCAAAGGAAGCTGTCCTAGTCTAGGGAAGCAAAGCCCCAGGATACCCAACCCTCTGCTTCAAAAGGAAAAGAGACAAGTATCTGCATAGAAGTCTAGGGCCAAGCACACTTTTGCTTGCAAGTCCCTTCCCTATACTGGGAGCTGTGCCTGCTGAAGCTATAGCCTGGCTTCTCTTTGAGGTTATGGGAGTACAGCAAGCAGACCAGATTTGGGCATCTTTTTTAAGAGGCGGCCTGTACTCACCTGTCAGAGTGTGGCTCCTCAGGGGTTGACGCTATAGAAGAAGAAAGAGGAGGGAGATAAATTAAGGATGCTGGAGGCGCCAAGAGACCCCAATTCAGAAAGATTTGTCCCTCCTCTATAGTCTCGAAACTTTTTTTTTTTTTTTTTTTAAAAAGACAGGGTCTCTTATTTGTACTCGGCTGGCCCAATTTTCAGTGATCCTCCTGCCTCTGCCTCCTAAGTACTGGGATTATAGGCATGAAGCAAGGCCCAGAGCATTTTCTTTTCTTTCTTTCTTTTTTTTTGGTCTTTTTGAGACAGGGTCTTCCTGTAGCCCCAGCTAACCTGGAACTTGCTATGTAGACCAGGCTGGCCTTGAATTCACAGAGATCCCCCTGCCGCTGCCTTCCTAGTGCTGGGATTAAAGGCATGCACTACCATGCCCGACTGAGCACTATCTTCAAATACAAACAACTGAAGCATTACATGTTGTTCCTGCATGTCTTTCTCTTTTTTGTTTTTTTTTTTTTTGTCTTTTTGAGACAGGGTCTCCCTGTAGCCTGAGCTGTCCTAGAACTCACTATGTAGACCAGGCTGGCCTTGAACTCACAGAAATCCACCTGCCTCTGCCTCCCTGGGAGGAAGTGCTAGGACTACAGGCCTGCGCCACCATGCCCAGCTTCTTTTTTTGTAGTACTGAGAATTAAACCTAGGGTACATGATAGGCAAGTGCTCTAATACTTAGGTTCATCTCTAGTCCTTTAGAAAAATTTTATTTATTCTTATTTTATGTGTATGAGTGTTTTGCATGCATGTATGTAAGTGCTCCACCTGTGTGCTTGGTGCCTGTGTGCCTCCCCTGGGCTGGAGTTAAGGATAGGTGTTAGCTGCCATGCGGGTGCTGGGAATCAGCCATTTTTTCCAGCTCGTCCAGTCCTTTTTGTTTTGAGACAGGGTCTGATTAGGTTGCTCAAGCAGGCCTTGAACTTGGACTCCCCTCTTGTCCCAGCCTCCTAAATAGCTGAGACCGTGGGCCTATGTCACTAGGCCCGTATGTGTCTCCTTTAAATGGTTGGTTTTCTCAAACACAGGAAACCATACTTTATTCGTTTATATTCTAAATAATTCAGACACAGCCTAACACCTAGTTGTTCCCAAGGTCCACATTAAGAAAATAATATGGAAAGGATAAAAAAAAAGTCAACACAACTCCTATCATAAGTGAAGCACTACCATAATCATGCACCGTGTACAGACTCATTTAATCCTCAAGGCCCCATGAAGATACAGAAACAGAGGCAGAGGTTGGGCCACTCTTTGCATGGTCACACACATGCTAAGTAGCAGAACAGGGACTGGAACTCAAGTGATGTGGTACAAACTCCAGTCTTGACTACTAAACCCATAAGACCGTTTATTTTGGTAAAAGAACAGTTCTCACTTCGGGCAAATGTTTAAAAAACCGGGATGGAGGAGTGAGGAGCATGTCCGGGAGGCAAGAGGCCGGCTGTACCTTCTCCTCACTGTTCAACCTCATGCAGTGGGCTTGAGGCACACGGCAGGTGCACAACCGGGCATGTGGTATGAACCAACACTCACATGAATCGTTGGGGAGGAAGCGAGGCTGCCAGAGATCCAGCAGAAAATAGGCCAAAAGTGAGATGCTGAGCAGGAAGAAGGGCCGGAGGGACGACGAAGACAACAACCTTAGGGAGACAAGGGGAGTGGGTTAGGAGAAGCTGCGGCGCCCATCACAGAAGGCGGAGCCCACTGACGGGGAGACCGTCACCAAGATGTAGAGAGATGGGGCAACCCCGGAGGACCTCAGCCTTCCTAACCTGGGGATGGATGGGCGCCCCGCCGCTGACATTCCTCAAGGCAGAGGCGCTCCCGACCCCGGCTCTCCCCGCGCAGCCCGGCCCCGCCCCCTCCTCCCCGGCCGTTACCAGAACAGGCCGTTGAGTGCTGCCGCCGTGACCAGGCTGTGCAGAGGCTTCTCCCACACCAGCAGCCGCTGCGCCGCTGCCAAAACCGCCTCCCAGCTGCGGAGCCGCAGCCACAGCGACGTGGCGAGGCGTCCCACCGCCTCGGCCGCAGCCGCCTCCTCCTCAGGGTCGCCGGTGGCCTCGCCCATACCGAGGCTCATCCCCAGGCCCAGGCCCAGGCCCAGCCCCGCGGTGCCACCTGAGCCGGTGGTACCGCCGCCGCTCGCCATAGCCCCGCCGCAGCCGCAGCCGCAGCCGCTGCCCGAGCCCGCGAGGAGCCAGGGCAGCTAGGCCGCCGCCGGGGGCGCGTCAGGCGGAAGGGGGCGCGCACCGCAGAGAGCAGAACCTGCGCACGGACGTCACGTGATGGCGGAGCGCCGAGCTCGTCACGTGACCCGACCTAACCGCCCGAGCGCGGAGTCCGGCGCGTGCGCCGATGAAGCTGATACGAGCCTGCTCTTAGGCAGGTACGTCTGCCGGTTGCTGGCGCTGTCACCCCGGTCCTGGCTCACCCTGGTGTTGTTGGGGCGGCCGGGGGAGCTGGTGCTGGCCGGTATCTCCCACGTGACTCTGACCGAGGGCTCAGGCGATGGGCCCCCAGGACCCTGGCTAGCATTTACTTGGGCTCGCGAAGGGCGGCGGCAGTCCCTTTACTCCCCCCCCTTGTCCTCCCATCACCTCCCTTCAGCGTGTAAACACCAGCGCGTGACTCGAATGACTTGCAAGCAGCTTCACCAACTTGGAAAATTTGCTTCTTCCGTAAACATCTTTCCCGCCTCTAAGCGTTGTTCTTCCCAAATCTTTCAGCGTCAGATTGGGCGAGAGGCGTGTTTAAAAATAAAACTTCCTTTAGGTGCTGTTTATTTTGGGAAGGACAAGTTTACGTCACTTTCGGAGGCTTCATATCCCTTGCGATCATTTAATTGCTGGAGTAACCCTACAAAACAAAATGTGTTCAACGAGTCTTAGAATTTAAAACTCCTATGAGGCATAAAGGTACAATTTCCCTCCCTTGTCCTCAGATCTCTTAAGTTTTCTTGTGTATATCTTTCACGGGCGTCGCTGGCTGCGTGTACGTTTTTCCTGGTGAAAACACTGGCGGCCGCTCGCGGTGCGGCTTTGTAGCTCATGGATCTCTGCATCACTGTGGGAGGATCTGGCTGGATCTGGCTGGCTTGTGAGCCCTTGCAGAGTCAGGGTCTCTCAGGAATTGTGTTTATCAGACACAGGGGGCGAGAAGCTGGGGCTTTGCTGCCGTCGCCCAGGGCCGGAGGCTAGGCCGGGCGGGTCGTACTTCCTGCCGGGTGGGCCGAGTCGTTGGCTACAGGCCCGCAGTTTACAGACGCGGGGCTGACGCCGTTCGGGTCAAGAACGCGCCTGGCTGCCAAGCCTCCTCCTACTCCGCCTGGTGAGCGTCGCGGGGAGCGCCGAGGCCCCAAGGCCGTTCTCGCTGCGATCCGGGTGGAACAGGAAGAGGCCCCCGCCTGGTGGCCGCTGCCGGCGCGAGGGAGGGGGCTGCGTGGACGAGATCTGCGGCCCACTCGGGAGAGGCGGGCGGGCCGGTGGGCCGACCGGTGAGGACGGCTCCACTGGCCACGTACAACTCCTTCCCTTCCCTCCCCTCCCATCTTCCCAGGGCGGCGGCTGACGGCGCGATGGACCTGGCTGGGCTCCTGCTGGACGAAGAAGGCACTTTCTCCCTCACTGGCTTCCAAGACTTCACGGTGAGGGCCTAGTCCCCGCCTCCCCAGCCTTCCCGTGCTGGGAATCAGGATTCCAAGCGCTTCCCTTCGGCCTGAGCGGCCAGGAGCTCTCCTAACTTGTCTTGCCTGAGTCTGGGCGGCCACAGTTGGAACCGAGTGTACTCAAGGCCCTTGCTGCTTGGGCCCAGAGAGAGAGCCTCAGGGTATAGGGAAGTACTGGTGGTTAGACCAGGGGACCAACTGGTTTAGTATCTCTTCTCTCCGGAGCCCTTGATGTTGACAGGGTGTCTTTCTCTTCTCTGTGGAACCGGCTGGCAGTCCAGGCCTGAGTCGGGCTTGGGCCACCTGGCAACAAGGCCGACCTGCAAACAATCTAGGGCTGAGTAGGGCATGGGCCTCCTGACATGGAGGCTGATCTGCTACTCTGTACCACCATCCAGTCCTAAACCAGGATCTCTATAATACCTTTCTCTGCCCTTCACCATCCACCACCCCCTGTCCTGTTTCAGTTCCTTCCAGGACACCAGAAACTAAGTGCTCGAATCCGAAGGAGACTGTACTATGGCTTGGACTTGGAGACTGACTGCAGCCTGGAGGAGCTCTCCAGCCCCGTGGCAGGTTAGCCTGTGTGTATGAGTGACTGAGCAAGTGAGAAGCATGAGGTCAGGGTTGTCAACAAGTCACCCAAATACCTGGAGGTATGCCCTCATCATAACTAGCTCAGTTGGTACTTAGTTCAAGAATGTAGGTCATGTTTCACATTCTTTTAGCCCGTATGAGTAAAAACATATTGAAAATTGCTATCATTTATTGTTTATTTTTTTATTTTTTGTCTTTTTGAGACAGGGACTTCCTGTAGTTCCAGCTGGCCTGGAATTCACTATGTAGACCAGGCTGTCCTTGAACTCACAGAGATACGCCTGCCTCTGCCTCCCAAGTGCTGGGACTAAAGGCATGTGTCACCACACCCAGCTTGTTTGTTTATTTTTTGAAACATGGTCTCCCTGTAGCCTCAGCTGGCCATGAACTCACAGAGATCCACCTGCTTCTGCCTCCCAAGTGCTGGGATTAGACATGCACTACCACACCCTGAGCTATCATTTTTTTTTAAGGCCTTCTGTATGCTAGGCAAGCATTCTACCGCTGAGCTACACCCCCAGTCCCAATGCTCTTTTTGATCTTTAGGTCAGAAATTTAGCTTTCTAAAGATATATATTGTATGTTTGCCAAATAAAGCATGCTTATTTCTCACATGAATATCAGTAATAAATGTGGATAACTCAACAGAGGAATAAGCCTTCCTGCTGGAAAGAACTGAAATTCAGGCTTGGAATAGGCTTTTGTCTCTGCTTAGGAGAAGTTTTGAGGGGATAGGGGTTGAGACAGTGTTCTACATAGGTCTTGGCTGGCCTGGAACTCAATTTTGGCAGTGATACTCCTGCCTCTGTCTTCAGTGTGGGGATTACAGGTGTATCCATGCCCTCCCAGCTTAGGAAGATTTGATTTCTAGTTTGCTATTATAGACCTGTCCCCAAGGCCTCAAATAATACAGACTTGGTCTTCTGTGATAGAGTGAGGACTGATGTGGGGTAGGGAGTTGCTCACTTTGCTCCCCATCTCCTGCAGACATTGCTGTGGAACTGCTTCAGAAGGCAGCACCCAGCCCTATTCGACGACTCCAGAAGAAATATGTAGCTCATGTATCCCGGTGAGTCTAGGATTGAGGGGGGATAGAATGAGAGTGTTTGGGCCTAGAGGGCCTGTTGGTTGGGGGGGGGTCGTCTCTAAAGAGAAGGCATAAAGACAGACATGAGTGTCCTGAGTTTCAAGGGCTGAGGGGCCCTTGAGTTTAATTACCAATCCTTTCCATCTCCCAGGGAGGCTTGTATCTCCCCTTGCGCTATGATGCTAGCTCTGGTGTACATTGAGCGGCTCCGGCACCGAAACCCAGACTACCTGCAGCATGTATCATCCTCTGACTTGTTTCTGATCTCCATGGTAAGGTGCCTCCCTTCATCTCCCTGGTGTGCCGGGCACCAAGTGTGAGCTTTACTGACACCACTTCTGGGTCCTCTGCAGATGGTGGCCAGTAAATACCTCTATGACGAAGGGGAGGAGGAGGAAGTCTTCAATGATGAATGGGGAGCTGCTGGGGGAGTGGCTGTGCCTACTCTCAATGCCTTGGAAAGGGGCTTCCTGAGTGCCATGGTGAGTAGCTCTTCTCTCTTGTTCTGGCTTTCTCATCCATCTTTACCTCCCTTCATCCTTTGTTCTGTCTCAGTTTTCTGTTGTCTTCAACTCTCTGAGTGTGTGTGTGGCACACATGCAGATGACAGTCTTGGGTGTTGTTCTTCAGAAGCTGTTTTCCTTATTTGTTTGGTGGTTTTTTGTTTTTTTTTTTTGTCTTTTTGAGACAGGGTCTCCTTGTAGCCCCAGCTATCCTGGAACTCACTATGTAGACCAGGCTAGCCTCTAACTCACAAAGATCCGTCTGCCTCTGCCTCCCAAGTGCTGGGATTAAAGGTGTGCGCCATCATGCCCAGCATTGTTTGGTGTATTTTAAAGATTTATTTCCTTTTATTTTATGTGCATGAGTGTTTTGCCTGCATGCTTGTATGTGTGCTATATGTGTGTCTGGCACTCACAAAGGCCAGGAAGATCCTTTAGAACTGGAGTTAAGGACAGTTGTGAGCCACCATATGGATGCTGGTGTAGTAAGTCCTCTTAACTACTGCTCATCTCTTCAGCCTTGACCCTGTATTTTGAGATAGGGTCTATAACTTGGCCTGGGACTTACAGATTAGGCTATGCAAGGTGACTGCCCAGTAAGCCTTAGGGATCTACTCTCTTTGTCTCACTAGTGCTGGGATTACAAGTGCATCACCATGCCCAGCTCTTTTACTAGGTTCTGGGGATCATACTCAGGTCCTCATGGCTTTCACAGCAAGGACTTTACTGACTGAGCTATTGCCAAACCTCCATTTAGAATTTTTAAAAAATTTTATTTTATGTGTTTTGTCTGCATGTATATGTAAGTGCACATGTGCATGCCAATGCCTGTGAAGGCCAGAAGAGGGCACCAGATCTCCTGGAACTAGAGTTAACAGTTACATATAGTTGTTGACTCCATGTAGGTGCTGGGAACTTAACCCTGGTCCTCTGCAAGAGCAGTCAGCGCACTTAACTTCTGAGCCATCTCTAGCCCCATTCACTTAGAATTTAAAAAAAAATTTTTTTTTTTTGAGACGGGTCCCAGCACATAACTCTGATTGTCCTAGAACTACTTTGTAGACTAGGGTGGCCTTAATATTGTGTGATCCTCCTGTTGCTGATTATAGGTGTATGACCACACTTGACTGTGCATATCTGTCTTTCTTTGTGCCTTTTTGTTAGTATCTTCCCTCTTTTTCTTTTCAAGACTAACCTAGAGGTTCCTAGAACGGTGAGACCAAGAGTAGAGTGTTTTCCCTTTCCTTTCCCTTTGGGGTGTACCCTAAGTCAGAACTTATTGTGTTGGGCTTCTGAGTATTTGCTTTCAAACTTTTATCTGCGTCACACTTTGAACACTCTGTGGACATGGGTCGTTTTCAGGGTTATTTTCTCCTTTTGCACTTAACAGAGGGTATAATGTGAGATCAGGAAGGTACATGATGTAATACACAAAACACAAACTCTCTTGGGATGGCAGCTAGCACATGTATCAGTGGTGGTAGTTGCTCCCTCAGCTCTTGTTAAGTCACTGTGGCTCACATCTGAGCATAGTTTTTGTAGTTTGTCTTTTTGAAACCAAGTTTCTTTATAGCCCCAGCTAGCCTGGAAGGTACTATGTAGACCAGACTGGCCTCAGTCTCACAGAGCTCCACCTACTTCTGCCTGCCAAGTGCTAGGTATAAAGGTGAATGCCATCATGCCTGTCTTTTTTTTTGTTTTTTGTTTTGTTGAGACAGGGTCTCCCTGTAGCCCCAGCTGGCCTGAAACTTACTATATAGACTGGGCTGGCCTTGAACTCAAGGAGATTGCCTGTCTCTGTCTCCCAAGTGCTGGGATTAAAAGCATGTGCCACCACACCCGGCTTGTTGGTTTTTGTTTGAGCCATGCTATAGCCCAAGGCTGACTCAGAACTAACAGCCATCTTACTGCCTCAGCCTCCTAAGTGCTGGGATCATAGGTGTGAACCATCATGTTGGTTTTCTTCCTTCTTACAGGATTGGCATCTCTACACTGACCCTCGGGAGATTTTTGAGGTTCTGAATTGGCTGGAGAGCAGGTGAGTTCCAGGAGTACTGGAAGAGGGGTTTGAGGCATGTAGGGCCAAAGGAGCTAGAGATAAGAAGAGACAAAGGAGAGAATTGTTCAGGGTAGTGGTTGCCAAACCCTTCTGCCCTCTGGAAGGGGAAGCACCATATTTAAAGCTCAGGTCTTGGTCCCACCTTTGTTTCTGAATCAACAGATAGTCTAGGGATATATGTACTTAACCAGCTCCCTAGTGTCTTCTGATAGGTTGTGAAGGGTATAAGGGTGGCCCTGGGGTGGTTGTAGGAATTACTGACCCCTTACCTCTTCTCTTCTTCTAGCGTGGCTGAACAGCAAGGACGTCGGCGGGGCTGGTATACCTATACAGACCTGTGTGTGCTGCTAGAGCAGCCAGCATGGCAGCTGTCTCTTGGTTCCCTCTGCCAGCAACTGGTGAAGGTGAGAAGGGGTTAGGAAGAAGGCTTGAATGAGCTAGACTGGTGTATAGGTGTGGATGTTGGAAAGCAAATGCTGAAAGGCTCGGGAGATGGAATTTGAGTATATGGGTGAAGGGAAGCATAGGGAGCTATAGGGAACTTCCAACTTGAGAGACTGGGGGGGGTGGGTAATAAAAACAGTCAATGACTTGCTGTTTTCTTATCTTCTTTCCTTCCTGCAGTTGTCCTGCCTGTTGGCTGTGGCATATGTGAGCAGTGTGGCCCTGACCGTGGCATCAATGGCTGTAATACACCAGTCCTTGGGGCTATCCTGCAGCCCCCCACCAGGCCCTCCTGACCTCAGACTTGTCCCTAAAGCCCTCTTGGAGCCCTGCATACCTTCTGTGCCACAGTGCCTACCATCTACTACTAATGTCTCCAGCTGCCTGGAATGTAGCACAGGGCTTCGTTCACTCTGGGGCAGTCTTCTGGCCTCACTGACACCCCCTCCACTGCCTCCCCCAGACCCTCCTGCCCCACCTACTCTTCTCCATAACTGCCCCTTTTGCCAGAAGCTCCAGAGAAACCTCCCAAACTGCCGTACCTGCCACCACCCTAATCGTACCATCTCTGTTGGTTCTTCTCGCCCCTTTTACCATACCCATGGCCTAGCCCCACCTTGGCTTTGGAGTCCTGAGGTCCCTCCATTCGTCCAACCCCAACAGTGTTCCCTTTTTAGTGTCATGGAGTTGGCCCGCCTCAAGTCTTTCATTTTCCCAGGTTAGGAAGGACTCTGATGAATGCATTTAGAGGGCTTGGGAGTCCCCAAGAGCCTGGAAGAGGAGAAACTTGATTTAGATTTTTGCCACCTCTCTGGGTCCTTGGCTAGTCCCGTCCTCCTAGGTAGGATCATACAGGGTTGTGGGGCAGGACAAGGTCATTCTCTTGGACCTCAGAGGCTAGCTGGTAGACCAGGATACTGATGGTGTCTGATACCTTCAGCTCAGTGACCCGGGGCATGTCACAGATGACAGAAGCACCTATCTCTGCCTCCCCAGAGTTCATCTAGACATTTGTTTTTAAGTTTCCTAGGATGGAAAGGTGTAAAGGTGGGAGGTAGAGGAAGTAGGGTGAAGGGAGGAAGAAAGCATTGACATGGGCCTGTGTGATGTCCCTGTAGCAGGAAAACCAGGGACTGATGGTGCCCAGGTGGGAGCTAAGGGAAGGCTTCCTGTGGTGGGAAAACTTGCCACACCCATCCCTTGGATGTAGTCTTTACAGCCAAGGATTAGTGTGTCTTTCAACCGTGTCCTTTTGTCTTCCGACCTTAGTTCCCTGCTCCAAGGCTTCCCTCTCTTCTGGTTCCTCTCCAGGTGTTCTTTTCACAGGTCTCTGGCTACAGCTTTGTATCTGGGTTTTTCACACTTTTTGTAGAACTGAGGTTTCAATAAACAGTTTCTGTTGCATGGCCTAGCCTTTTCCTTTTTGCGCGACACTCCTTTGGGTCTTTCTTCCTCCATCTGCCTTCCTAGCCTCTCTACTTCCTAATCCTGTCAACTTGTATTTTCTGAGAGCTCTGTTTCAGAACTTCCCTATTAGTTTGATAGTCATTGGTTCCTATTTCAAGCTTCCCTCCATCCCTGCTTCCACCATCTTGAAGCCCTAAAACTGCCTGCCACGTGATACAATAGTGACTGTTCTAGGCCTGGGTTTGGACTCGTTTTGTTGCATATTTTGAGTGGGCATTAGCCTTGTGGATCCTCATAGCGTCAAACCCATATCCAGCAGAGCCCTCTGAGCTTGAAGGCAAGCCCTGCTGACTTTCCCAGGCTGACTCATGGGAGTAGCTGGTGTTCAACAACCAGAGCTGAGTCATGGATGGAAGAACAGTCATGCCTCTGGCCTTCCTGTATTTGCACTGCTGGCTGAAGATCATCTCTAGTGGGGGTGCTGCTGCCCCCTAGGGATCATTTTGGAAATGTATGGACTTTTTGGTTATTACAAGAATTTGTGGGGATGCAACTGGCATTTATTCAGCCTGAACAGCCTGAATGGGACATTAGACATCCTCAAGTGCTTAAAACCTCTTTTACTACGAACAGTTCACAAGTCAGATTATCACCATGCATGTGAAAATTCTTTTTATCTGAGCCTGGAGTTACCCTTTTTTTTTTTAAATAGGGTCTCAGCCCACTTGGATTTTTTTGTTGTTTTGTTTTTGGTCTTTTTTGAGACAGGGCCTCCCTGCAGCCCCAGATGGCCAGGAACTCACTATGTAGACCAGGTGGGGCTTGAATCACAGAGATCCTCCTCCTGCTTCTGCTGGGATTAAAGGCATGTGCCACCACGCCCAGCCTTAGCCCACTTGGAACTCATTATGTAGACCAGGTAGGTCTCGCTGAGATCTGCCTCTGCTTCCTTAATGCTGAGATTGAAGATGTGTGCTGCCGTGCCCAGTGTTCTCTTTTTTTTTTTTGAGATGGTTTCCCTGTAGCCCCAGCTGGCCTGGCTGAAACTCCTATGTAGACCAGGCTGGCCTCTATCTCACAGAGATCCCCCTGCCTCTGCCTCCTGAGTTCTGGAATTATTTTTTTAATACAAACATGAAATTGTTGCACATTTTGAAAATCAAAACTCAGTTTGCCAGATGTGCTAGATACAGCGTTAGTTGTCAACTTGACACACCTGGGTAGAAGGGGGCCTCAGTTAGGGAATTGCCTCCATTGGACTGGCTTGTGGCATGAATGTGGGGCATTTTCTTCACTGTAATGTGGGAGGGCCCAGCCCACTGTGGGCAGATTGTTCTGTATTGTTTAGGAAAGCAGCATTCTTCCATGGCCTTTGCTTCAGCTCCTGCCCTGAGTTCCTACTTTGGGCTCCCTCAGTGATAACCCGGAGATGTAAGCCAAATAAACCCTTTCCTCCCCAAATTGGTTTTGGTTAGAGTGTTCTGTCACAGCAATGGAAGGCAAACTAGAATACCAGGAATATGCTTCTATGTGAATTAAACATGTACTTTGTTCGGTGTTTTACCCAAAGTTAGTTCACCATTCTAGAAAACCAGGTCATCACTGTCAGTACTGCTTATGACATGACATCTGACTTACCAATAAAGTGCTATTATCAGCTCTCAGTAGCTATCTTGTCTTCACATCCACAGTGATCCTAACTGGGTGTGAGGGTTGGACTGCTCCATTGTCTTCTATTTTATTTGCACCCAAGCTTTCACATACTGAAATACATGTTAGGAATTACTTTTGCTTCTTAAGCATGAGTTCATTATATGTAGTGCTCATTGTCATATAACATGTATTTTATGAGTTCCATTTTGAAGTGGTCTAGGGCATGTCCTATATGGTTGTGAAATGTGTATCTAATGGGAGTACCAAATGCTGATGGTGGGAAGGGATAGTTTACAATATTTCTCTAGATTATTTTGATAGGTCTACCTTAGTTTCCAGAGCTTGGTCTAGAAGCTAGGGATCTGGATGAAAATTCTTGAGGGAGGGGTCCAGAACTCAGCTTCCCAGTTAATGGCTGATGGAATTTGCACAAGAGCTGGGCAAAGGTGAAAGAGCCATGTCCTGCCCCCAAACCCTTATTCCTTCTCTCCGCTTCACTGACACCCCTACCCCCTCTCTACTCCAGCCAGCTAACTCCACCCAAACTGACTTCTTACTCTCTACTCTCTAACCCAGGGCAGCTAAGACACAACCAAGTCAGTGCAGTATGAGCCTATTACCTCTCCATCCCATTCCCCTCCTATCTATGGGCTCCCAGGATGCCCTGGCTCCCTTGCCTACACCTCGGTCCCTTCCCCAGAATCCCTCCTCCCACTCTCAGGCCTCTCGGTGTAGGCCTTTCACCTGGGGCCTTAGCTGTCTTCTGGCTCTACAGGTAGGAGGTAGAGGCATAGGAATTGGCTCTGGCTGATGGGGGTATTTGGAGCAAGTCAGTGTGTCAATGAGAAACCCCCTATAAATAGGTATTTCCATCTATGTCTGAAGCTTGCCCCTCCCTGTTCCTCCACCGGTAGCATTTCCTGGTCCTGGCATCTCTGCTGTGTGCCTCTCACCTGTTGCTGCTTCACAGTCTCCCCCAAGGGGGGCTGTCATACGCCCCTGCTCAGCTCCTGGCCTCTAGCTTCTTTTCATGCGGTATGTCTACAGTCCTGCAAACCTGGATGGGCAGCAGGTGAGGGGACTCCTCCTTGAGAGAGGGTGTAGGATCCCAGAAAGAGGCTTGACAGAAGCCTTTTGGCTGCCACATGTTTGTAGACCTGTCAGAACTGCTGTTTCTATAGGCTGCCTCTTATCCAGGCTCCATCCTTAGAGTTCCTTATCCCTGCTCTGGTGCTGACCAGCCAGAAGTTACCTTTGGCCACCAAGACACCTGGAAATGGTGAGTACAGAGCAAAGGCAGGGTTAGAGTTAAGGAGTGGTGACACTGCCAGGAAATGTAGAGGGCTTGGGGCATCCCATTTATATTTCTTTTCTGTACCCCAAACTCTTCCAGCCTCCCTCTCACTGCACCTGTGTAGGTTGACTGGTTGCCATGGCCTGGAGCTCTGGAATACTTCTCTCCAAGAGGTGAGTACCTAGAGAAGGGTACCAGAAGGACTAGACAGTCCAGGTAGGGGGAGGCTTTTATTTCTATTATGTATGTACTGGTTCCTATCCCTGGAATTATTTAGAAATCCCTGGCTAAAGTCAACTTGATTGAGCAGAAAGTCTTCTATTCATTCTTTCCTCTACTCCATCAGGTGTCAGGGGCAGTGGTGGTGTCCGGGTTGCTGCAGGGCACACTAGGACTGCTGGGGGTGCCTGGCCGTGTGTTCTCCTACTGTGGGCCACTGGTGTTGGCTCCCAGCCTGGTTGTGGCAGGGCTCTCTGCCTACAGGGAGGTGGCCCAGTTCTGCTCCGCTCACTGGGGGCTGGCCTTGCTGTACGTGAGTCCTGAGAGGTGTGGGATGGTGTTCAGTTGGGTGTGCAGACCTGGGGGAGGAGAGCACTGCTGACTTATCAGATTCAGCAGCCACCTGGGCAGGGATAACACTTTTTAGATTTGGAATCCAAGACTTTTCCAAAATTCATCCAGTTTTTCTGACATTCACAGTCATGTGCTGTCCACCGGGGTGCCTCTTTACCCCTTCCATTGAGGGGGAGGTGTTTCCTGGGACATTCTGTTATAGTAGTCTGCCCACTTCCATTTCCTTCGTCCAGGATTCCAGCATCCAGGATGCTTCTGGTCCACAAATCTCCTTCTCTCTCCTAGACTTATCCTGCTCATGGTGGTTTGTTCTCAGCACTTGGGTTCCTGTCAGGTACCTGTGTGCCCTTGGAGGCCAGCTTCAGCTTCTACAACTCAAATTTATGTCCCTGAATTCCGACTCCTCTCGGTATGTGGGGCTCTGGGCAGATGAAGTTAGAAGGAATGATATGCATAGCTAGGTGTGACAGGACACACCTGTAACCCCAGCACTGGGAAGGTGGAGGTAGGAGAATCAGGAATTTAAGGTCATTCTCCAATACTTAGGAAGTTTGAGCCCAGCCTGAGATACTAGAGACCCTGTTTCAAAAACTAATAACTGGGTTAGGGAGATAGCTCAGAAGTTAAGAATGCTTGCTGCTCTTCCAGAGGACGTGAGTTCAGTTCCCAGCATCCACATCAGGCAGCTCACAACCACCAGCTCCAGAAGAGCCTATGGATCCTATGCCTTCTTCTGGCCTCTGATGGCACTGGCAGAGAAGCATTTAGGGAGACAGAGAGAGGGAGAAGGAGGGATGGAGAGAGAGAGAGAGAGAGAGAGAGAGAGAGAGAGAGAGAGAGAGAGAGAGTAAAAAATAGAAACAAGTCTCTTTTTTTGTGGTCTTTTTGAGACAGGGTCTCCCTATAGCCCCAACTAGCCGGGCACTTGCTATGTATACCAGGCTGGCATTGAACTCACAGAGATCCACCTGCCTCTACCTGGGATTAAAGGTGTGCACCACCACACCCTGCTGAAACAAACCTTTAAAGCAAATATAGAAGGGTGTGTGGTTGACATGGAATGTTTCCTTTGTCTCCCTGCTTTTGGACTAATGTTGACCCCATCCAGGCTGACTCAGAAGGTTCTGGGGGAGGGGCCCTTTTTCATCTCAATGTTGTTCCTCAGGTACTTATCCCTGTGGCCTGTGTGTGGATCATCTCTGCTCTTCTGGGTCTCAGCCTTATCCCCCTGCAGCTGACTGAGTCCACTGAGGCACCATGGTTTTGGCTGCCACACCCGGGTAGGTTTTCTACTAGACTCCCGTTCTCTGCTCAAATCAGAGTATCTGTTTCCTCAAACCCATGATTTAATAGACCAGCCATGCAAGGTGGCACACACACACCTGTAATTCTAGAACTTGGTAAGTGGAGGGAGGAGGATCAGGAATTCAAGGTCATCCTCATCTACATATCAAGTCTGAAGTTAATCTGGGCTACATGAGACCCTGTCTTAGAAAAATTATAGAAAAAAAATTTTTTGTCTTTTTTTGAGACAGGGTCTCCTTGTAGCCCCAGCTGTCCTGGAACTCACTATGTAGACCAGGCTGGCGTCAAACTCACAAAGATCTGCCTGCCTCTGCCTCCCAAGTGCTGGGATTAAAGGCATGTGCCACCATGCCCGGCCAGAAAATATTTTTTTTAAGATTTATTTTTATTCTATTCATGTGTGTGTGTGTTTGTGTGTCTGTGTGAATGGACTTCATGTATGTGCAGGTGCCCACAGAGGCCAGAAGAGATCAGATCTCCTGGAGCTGGAGATACAGCCTGAGGTATGGGTGCTGGGAACCGAACTCAAGTCCTCTGGAGGAACAGGAATCAATTCTAACCACTAAGCCATGTCTCCAGCCCCATCAAAAAAAAAAATTAATGGCATTCACTTCTGAGTTAAATCCTGTGTTTCTCAAAACACACAGAGAAACTGCCAACTTACAGGGTTGTCTACCCTCATGCAGGTGTTTTATTTGGGTCAGTATTGAGAGACTAACATCTGTATTTACTGTCTGCCCCACTACTGACTTCAGATACTCTCTTTTTTTCCTTTTTCTTTTTTTTTTTTTTTTTTTTTTTTTTTTTTGTCTTTTTGAGACAGGGTCTCCCTGTAGCCCCAGCTGTCCTGGAACTCACTATGTAGACCAGGCTGGCCTCAAACTCACAAAGATCCACTGGCCTCTGCTTCCCAAGTGCTGGGACTAAAGGCGAATACCACCACGCCCAACCTGATACTCTTAAAAAAATTTTTTTTGATTTATTATTTTAATTTTATGTGTGTGAATGTATTTCCTACATATGTGAGTACACCCATATCATGCAGTGCCCTAGGGGGTCAGAAGATGGCACCAGATCCTCTGGAACTGGAGTTTCAAATGGTTGTTAGCCACCATATGGGTTGGGGAACCAAACCTGGGTCCTCTGCAAGAACAGTCAGTGCTGTTAACTGCTGAGCCATCTCTTCAGTCCCCTACTTCTAATACGCTTGACAGTTGACATTTCTGTTGGTAAACTATGTGTAGACATTGTTTTGAGGCAGTATATATGAAATTTTGTCATTCACATTTATTAGTCATAGTGGTAGGGATCACTCAACTCAGGACCTTGTACATACTAGGCAAGTGCTTTGCCACTGAACTCTACCAACAGGCCTTCATTTATCAATTTAGTGATGGTGAGTTGAATTCTGAATAGGCCCTAAGCACGTGGTAGGAGCCATAAGGATGACTACAAGAGATATAATACCTGCTTCATGGAGCTGACAGTGTATTGGGGAGTACATATAGTAATCAAATAGGCACAGAAGTAAAGGTGAAATTGCCATTGTGGTAAGTGTGCCTAAGAGGAACTGTGCTTCGTGGTAAGAGCAGATAATGGGGAATATGATGTCATCAGGGAGATTGAGAGTAGTTTTATTTATTTTCTAAGAAGTGTTCTTTCTAAAATTTATTCTCTGACAATTTCATATATATATATATAAAACATATCCAAACTCCTCCCCCTTCCAGTCCCCCCAGATTCCCCTCCAACACATCTTCAGCCCACTTTCATGTCCTTTTTTTTTTAAAAAAAAAAAACTTACTGAATGAAAAATGGATGGCTCTCCCTTCTCCATCAGCCATCAACTAATTGCCCATAGTCCCCGTGGGTGGGGTGGGGCCTCATGAGCCCCTCCCCTATCTATGCTGGAATGCTGACTGGCTTGATCTTGTGATGGTCTTATGCCTGTAACTATAGCTGCTATGAGTTCATGAGTGCAATAATCATATCATGGCCAGAGGACAGTACTTTATACACCTCTCCCTTATCCCCCACCTCTTACATTTCCATTTTTGAGACAGTATCTCAGGAAGCCCAGAGTATCCCCAAACTTGCTGTGTAGTTAAGGCTGAGCTTAAACTCCATATCCTCCTGCCTCTATCTCTCAAATGTTGGAATTACAGTCATGCATTACCACACCTGACTGAGAGAAGTATTCTTGAAGAAGTGGTCATTTAGCTGTGATGAGAGAGATGCCCTAATTGGACAGGAGACAGGAGAGAACAGCAATCTAGATAAACAGCATATGCAACTGCCCTGTGGTTGCCAGAAACAAGCAAATCTTGGGAGTGTGGTAGGAAATTAGACTAGAGATAGAATTAAGAGGCAGACCAAAAATAACTTTGTAGATCATATTGAAGAATGGACGGGTCTTTCTCCTTAGAATTCAGTGATTTTGTCCCACAGTATTATCTTCAAAGACACAGGCATCTGAGATTCTTTAGTATAGTCATTTATTTTTTCTCTTCGTTGAGACAGAGTCTCCCTGTAGCCCCCAGCTGGCCTGTAACTTGCTATGTAGATCAGGCTGGCCTCAATCTCACAGACATCTGCCCACCTCTGCCTTCTGAGTACTGGGATTAAAGATGTGAGCCATTTGGAGACAGAGAGATACTCTAGGCTTCAGTCTGGCCTTCAGGTAACTGCTTCTTCTTTCCCAGGTGAGTGGGACTGGCCCTTGTTGACACCCAGGGCTCTGGCTGCAGGCATCTCCATGGCTTTGGCAGCCTCTACCAGCTCCCTTGGCTGCTATGCTCTGTGTGGCCAGCTGCTGCATTTGCCGCCTCCACCACCACATGCCTGCAGTAGAGGGCTGAGCCTGGAGGGACTGGGCAGTGTGCTGGCTGGGCTCCTGGGAAGCCCCATGGGCACTGCATCCAGCTTCCCTAATGTAGGCACAGTGAGTCTTTTCCAGGTATGTGGATCCGAGACAGGGCTGGGAACTGGAGGTACAAGTGTGGGAATTCACAATGATTGGCTGCCAGTTGGGCCTACAGTTAGGTAGCTCATATGAAGGGTTTCACTAAGGGAGGTGCTGAGATAAGCAGCTAGGATGGTGGGGAAGCAGGAGATCACCAGATCAGGTGCATCAGGTGCTCTGCCAAGGCTCATTCCATGAGTCAGAAAGCCCTGCTCTCTTGGGGACTTTGTAGAGGGGACAGAAAGAAGGAAACAGTATAATTTGAGAGTGGCAAATACTAGTAAAAAAAACAAAGTAGTGGGATATGAGCCAAAGAGGCACTTTCTTTTCCTTGAGACAGGGTCTCTGTATTCCCAGCTGGCCTGGAGCTTACTATATAGACCAGGCTGGCCTCAATCTCACATAGATCTGCCTGCTTCTGCCTCCACAGTGCTGGGACTGAAGGCATGCACTACCATGCCCAGCTTTTTTTTTTTAAGACAGTAATTATTTTATTTATTCACATTTATTTAATTAATTTATTTTTTACTTATTTGAGACAGTCTCACTATGTACCCCTGGCTGTCCTGGAACTTGATTTGTAGGCCAGGCTGGCCTTGGACTCATAGAGCTCCACCTGCCCCTGTCTCTCAAATGCTGGGATTAAAGGTATGTGCCACCACATCTGGCCCAAAGAGGCACCTTTGGATCGAGTGGCCAGGATGCTTGGAAGGGATACAAAGAATGAGTGGGCCAAGCAAGACCTGGCATAGTCCAAGGAGGTAGCTAGGTGGCTGCATCATTCTCTCTCTCTCTCTCTCTCTCTCTCTCTCTCTCTCCTTCTTTCCCTCCCTCCCTCTCTCCCCAGGGTCTCACTCTGTAGTCTTGGATGGTTTAGAACCCCTTATGTAAACTAGGCTAGCCTTGAACTCATAGAGCTCCTTCTGCCTCTGCCTCTCAAGGGTTGGAATTACAGGCATGGGTTACCATGCCAGGCTCTAGCGTATCTTCTTTATGCAGGCTGGATCTCAGCGAGTAGCTCACTTGGTGGGGCTGTTCTGCATGGGGCTTGGGCTCTCCCCAAGGCTGGCTCAGCTCTTCACCACCATCCCCCTGCCTGTTCTTGGTAAGTGGATGGATGGGGAGGACAGGTATTAGAATACTATTCCCCCCACTGTATGACCAACCAGTTGGTTAGACTGGTGCTCTTTCTCTCTAAATAGCCTCTCTGAATGGATATGGATACATGCCCCTGTTTTATCAGTCCAACTGAGCTTCTTGAAGAATTAGAAACAAGTCTTTTGGTTATTTTTCCTCATTACAGTCTGCCTGCCCTACAAACCCTGTGCTATACCCTCTTCCTACTACGTTGATTTCTTCTGTATGAGACAGGTGGGGTGCTGGGACTGACCAAGGCTGTAGTTCTGTCTGCCGGATTCTCCAGCTTCCACCTGGCTGACATTGATTCTGGTCGGAATGTCTTCATTGTGGGCTTCTCCATCTTCATGGCCTTGCTTCTGCCAAAGTGGCTTCAGGAAGCCCCAGTCAAGCTCAGTACAGGTAGGTGGGGTGAGAAAGAAAAAAGGAGTTGGTCAGTAGTGGGGAACTGAACTCCTGGCCTCACACCCTTCTCTGGGATATGGTATAAATAGTGAATCCATCTATTTAACCAATATTTGTTGAGCATCATGCTACCCAATTAGGACATGTCCTGGTTTCATTTTTGTTGCTGTGATAAAAGCTTTCTGACCAAAAGCAACCTAGGGAAGAAGGTTTACTCAGTTTACAATTCCAGATCACAGTCTATCACTGAGGGAAGTGAGGGCAGGAACTCAAGACAGGAACTTGAAGGCAGGCTTGCTTGCTATTCTACACATAATTATCTCCAACAAAGGAACTCACTTCACAGCCATAGAAGTACAGAAGGAACCATGGAAGACACTGCTTGTTAGCTGGCTCTCAGGCTACTGTATACTCAGCTAGCTTTCTTATATAGTTCATGACTGCCTGCCTAGGGATGGAACTACCCACAGTGCACTGGACCTTCTTACATCAATAAACAATTAAGATAACTCCCACAGACATGCCTACAGGTCAATCTGATCTAGGAAATTCCTCAATTGGAGCTTGCCTCTCAGAATGACTCTAGGCTGTCCCAAGTTGGCTTTTAAAGCTAACTAGTTATAAAACCCCTACCCCCCAAACAAGTTTTTAAAAAAGCTAATTAGGACAGGAAACAAAGGTGCTTTTAGTTGGTACAATATTATAAAAGAGATTTGTTCATGAAAGTAACAAGGAAGTTTCAGATATCAGCTGTGAGTCTACATGGTGGGCCATGCCTTTAATCCCATACTCAGGAGGCAGAAGCAGGTAGATCTCTGTGAATTCTAGGCCAGTCAGGGCTGCAGAGTGAGACCCTATCTCAAAACAAACACATACCCTTCCCATCAAAGCTGTCGCACTCAATGACTGAGATGACCCAGTAGAACTGAAACTGGTCTTTGAGAATGGAAAAATGGTGAGAAGCCCATTGTGTGTGTGTGTGTGTGTGTGTGTGTGTGTGACAGGATCTCATTCTAGAGCCTAGGCTGGCCTCAAACTCATGGGAATCCTTCTGCCTTAGACTCCCATGTAGTAGAATTACAGGTGTAAGCCACATGCCCAGCTAGTAAGATCATTCTTGATCAAGTTTCCATAATCAAAGATAAAGGATAGGATTGTAGTTTAGAAATAGTGTAGGGTATGTCCTGAGAGGGGCAAACAGCTTAGTTTGTCTAGAGCAGTGGTTTTCAATTGGGCATGATTTTGCTCATGAGGAATATTTGGCAACATCTGCAGACATTTTTGGCTGTCACAAATGGAGAAAAAGTATAGTTCCTGGCATTTAATGCATAGAGAGAGGTTGTTAAACATTCTTTGGTGCTCTCGACAGTTCCTTACAACAGAGAATAATCTGGTCCAAAATGTTAGCAGCATGGAGGCTGAGAGACTCAGGATAGCACACAGAAGGTCCGAAGTGGGAGAGAAAGGGGCTTTTAAATACCAAAGTTTCTAGAGGAAGGGAGCCTGTAGCAAAGTGTATGTGGAGTGTATGTGGATGCTCAGAAAACAGGGTGTTGAGAAGGGGCCCTATGGGAAATGGTAGGAGTCGTAGCGTAGGAAATGGTAAGTGTAGAGGGACAAAAGGTAAGGGGGGTGGTGGAGAGATGGCTCAGTGGTTAAGAGCACTGGCTGCTCTTACAGAGGACCCCAGTTTGGTTCACAGCACCCACATGGCAGCTAACAACCATCTGTAACTCCAGTTCCCAAGGAATCCAATGCCCTCTTCTGAACTTCGAGGGCACTGCATGATACAGGTGTACTTACATATATGCAGGCAATACACTCATACACATAAATAAAAATTTTAAAAAAGGTAGGGGGAGGGGCTGGAGAGATGGCTCAGTGGTTAAGAACACTGGTTGTTCTTGCAGAAGAGCTGGGTTTGAATTCCAGCACCCACATGGCAGCTAACAACTGTCCGTAACTCCAGTCTCAGGGGATCTGACAGCCTTTTCTGTCCTCCGTGGGCATTGCACTACACAGGTACACTTACTTACATGCAGGCAATACACGCATACATATAAATAAAAAATAAAATTTGGGGGAGGGGCAGGGCAAAAAAAAAAAAGGTAAGGGGAATGGGATGACAACTCAGTGAGATATGTTCCTCATCCAAGACTTAGTTTATTCTGAAAGAGTAAGACTTCTTGGCTTTGGATAATATCAGAATTCCCTTCCTGCCTGACCCCAACCTTTGTAGGTTGGAGACCCTTGGATGTGTTCCTGTATTCCTTGTTGGCAGAACCCATCTTCCTAGCTGGTCTTTTGGGTTTTCTCCTAGAAAATACCATTTCTGGTAAGTTGAGACCAGGCCCTAGCAAACTGGGGGAGTGGTCAGGAAGTCATTACTCCTTGGGCTGGGTAATGACCTGACCGATGACTCTTTTGCAGGCACTCGGCTTGAGCGAGGCCTACATCAAGGGCTTCCAACTTCTTTCACTATCCAAGAAATCAGAATGTCTCAGAAGTCCAGGGAGAAGACTACTCAAGAGTATGGGCTTCCTTTGCCCATCCAAAACCTGTGTACCTGCATTCCGCAGCCTCTTCACTGCCTCTGTCCAATGCCTGAAGACTTTGGGGATGAGGAAGGAGGGCCCTGTAAGACAGGAGAGACAGCAGACTTGTTGCCTGACTCTGGGGAGTCATGCCCTACATCTAGCAGAGAAGGGTTTAGGTCCCAGTAATACCAAGACTACAGTTTCTGTCCTTATTAGTTTAGTGGTAATAGGCAACTTGCTGGAGTCCCAGCTCCAAGGCTGTAGTTTCTTCCCAGGGAGACAGTATTTGTATACCATGGGCCCATCTAGATGTCTCATTTTTCAATAGACTGGGTTGTTTTTCCTGATGTTAACTAGGCTTAACTGTTCAGTAGCAGGGGCCGTGGTTTATGAATAAATTGACTTATATTTGATTTTTGCCTGTGAACTGTCAGTGTCACTTGAATGAACTCTAGCATTCGATTTATTGAATGCTTCTCATGAGCAAAGTCCTGCATCCACAGATATGGATTAGGTCCCCCTACTCTCTCTTGAATTTAAGATTGAAATTATTGGCTAAAATGCCATCAGTCTGTAATAAAGAGGAAACTAATGCTGTGGGAAGGACGAAGCACTTCCTTTTGAATGGGATAACAGGAAATGCTTTAAACTGGACTGTGGCCAGGACAAGTGAGGATTTGGGTCCCCGCCCACGGCAGGCCTGGGCTCCGTCCCGCCCCCGTAGTCCGAGACCCCGCCTTCCAGAGAGTGTTGGGGGGGGCGGCGTCTATTCTAGGCCTTTCAGTTTGCGCAGGCCAGTAGGCCTACTGTGAGGAGGGTGGAAGCGCCCACGGCCACTGAAGGTAGGTGCGGTCGGGTCAACTCGACGCGGGGATGTGGCCCGGCCGGTGTCGAGAACTGAGGGGCACAAAGCCCCGGACCCTTCACGGGCGCTTTTTCCCAGAAGGGACCGCGCGCAGCCTGGGCTTTGGGGCAGGCAGTGGGCGGTGCCACGCGTGCGCAGTCCGCCTCGGGCGGCTCTGCGGGTTTGAGAGTGGTATGAGAGGCCTCTCCAGGAGTGACGTTTTGTTTTGGCTTCTGGACCATTTCGGCTTTGTTAGCCCTTGAAGGGGTTCCGAGCTATGTCTCAGGCCAGCGGTGCTGTAAAGATGAAAGGCTGAATCCCAGCAGGAGTGGTGCATGGATGCCAGAGGGCGTTCCTGCTGTGGCACGCGGTGGCAGACGAAAGGTTCGCCCTGTCCTGAGGCGCGGGGCCGCCGGGATGGTCTCTAGGGGCCTGCTGCCCTCTGCAGGGTGTTATAGGAACTGACCTGAGTGCGGAGCCCGGGGCGGAGGGGCAGAACGCTGCAGCTTTGAGTGCCCCCCTATTCTAGAGGACAAAACGGTGGAGCCGGTTAATGTGAATATCAAAAGCCAACTTGAGAAAAAAAAGAGTAAAACTCCGAGGCCTTAGATTCCTTCCCCTCCCTCCGTACAGAGAACGAGCTCAGGCCCTCACCTAGTCTACCACTGAACTATCACCTCCACGCCTCCCTCCCTCCTTCTCCCTCCTCCTTTTCCCCTCCCTCTCCCCACTCTTTTCTCCCTCCTCCTCAGTCCTTTTTATTTTTATTTTTTATTTTTGGAGAGGTCTTGCTCTCTTGTCCACGTTGGTCTCCAATTCAGGATCCTCCTGTCTCAGGCCTCCTGTGTGCTGGGATTATAGGCATGGAGCCACCATGCCTGGTTTACAGTCATGCTCATCTATGACCAGACTGAGTGGTAGAAGCAGCTAGTCTGGGTCTGGTGCTGAAGGCTTTGGACTTTTTTTTATAGGACCAGCTGCCCTTGGCCACATTGAACTGCCTCCTCCTTCCAAACAAAACCATTAACTTGTGGGTTCTGACCTTTTGGACTAAGAAAGGGACCAGCTAGGCCAATAAGTCCAATTTGGATGACTTTTAGTGTGCATACCAGGATGTGCCTATAAGGGAAATTAAAGGGTTTGGCAATTTCATTTGCATTTGTTATCTTTGGCAATAAAAGTTATTGTCCTGTGAAGACTAATCATTCCAAGAGCACTTTGCCCTGTTGGAACAGCACATGGGAATAAATTTAAAACTCTCTGGTTCAGGGATTTTTATAGCCCGGGCTGACCTTGAATTCACTATGTAACAGTGGATGACCTTGAGCTTACTTTTTTTTTTAATTTAAAATTTTTTATTTTTGTGTGTATGGGAGTAGAAGTTTGGATATATATGTGCATGATCGTGTGCGCGCATGCGCATATGCTGATGCTGCTTTGCATGTGGAGATCTGAGGACAACCTTGGGTGGTGGTCCTCAGGTGCTTTCCACCTTTTGTTTGAGGTAGGGTCTCATTACCTTGGAACTTTGCCATGTAGACCAGGCTTCCAGGGATCTGCCTTTCTCTTCCTCCCATCTTGCCACTGCTGGGATAACAGGTGCACACCACCAACCTGGCTCTCTACATAAGTTCTGCAGATCCGAATTCAGGTCCTCATGTTTGCAAGACAAGTGCTTTACAAATTGAGCTGTCTTTCCAGCCCAACCTTGAATTTCTAATCCTCCTACCTGCACCTCCCCAATGCTGGGATTGCAGGTGTGCCTCATCACGTCTGGTTTAGGATTTTATTTTTAATTCCTGGGATCTTCCTAACCTTTGCTTTTATTAAATTTATTTTTATTTTATTTTTTTGGTCTTTTTGAGACAGGGTCTCCCTGTAGCCCCAGCTGTCCTGGAACTCACTATGTAGACCAGGCTGGCCTTGAACTCACAGAGATCCACCTGCCTCTGCCTCCCGAGTGCTGGATTAAAGGCGTGCGCCACCACACCCGGCTAATAAACAGGGTACTATTTTCATTCTTTTTAAAATTTACTTTATTATTTTTAACTGTGTGTGTGTGTGTGTGTGTGTGTGTGTGTGTGTGTGTTCCCATGGAGGCCAGAAGTATTGAATCCCCCAGGAGCTGGAGTTACAAGTGGTTGTGAGTTGCCCCAGGTGGTTGCTGGGAATTGAACTCAGGTCCTCTGGAAGAGCAGTACCTACTCTTAACTGGTGAGCCTTCTCTCCAGCCCTACTTTTTTTTTTTTTTAATTTTTAAAAAAATGTTTTTTGGGGGCTGGAGAGATGGCTCAGCAGTTAAGAACACTGGTTGTTCTTGCAGAAGACCCGGGTTTGAATCCCAGCACCCACATGGCAGGTAACAACTGTAACTCCAGTTCCAGGGATCTGATGGCCGCTTCTTTCCTCCTCGGCATTGCACGACGTGGGTGCACTTACCTACATGCAGGCAATACACTCATACACATAAAATAAAAATAAACAATAAATGTTTTTTAATTTATTTTATTATTATTATTATTATTATTTTTGGTCTTTTTGAGACAGGGTCTCCCTGTAGCCCCAGCTGTCCTGGAACTCACCATGTAGACCAGGCTGGCCTCGAACCCGCAGAGATCCACCTGCCTCTGCCCCCCGAGTGCTGGGATTAAAGGCGTGCGCCACCATGCCCGGCTTTATTTTTTTATTTTAAAAAAAATAAATTCAGTGTTAACATTTCTATAAAGAATTAAGGCAGTTTCAGGACACCTGTCCCAGTAGAAGCCCTACTTATTTACTTAAAAAATATTTATTTTTCTATTTTATGTGTATGAGTGTTTTGCCTGCATAAGTGTACCATGTGTATGCAAACCCATAGACATCAGAAAAGGGCATTGAATCTCCTGTAACTGGAGTTACAGACAGTTGTGACCCACCAAAATGGGTGTTGGGAAACAAACCCTGGTCTTCTGAAAGAGCAACCAGTGCTCTTAACTGATGAGCATCTCTCCAGCCCACTCATTTCTTTTTCCTTAAAATGTCTTATATTTATTTGGTGCACACATGGAAGTCAGAGGACAACTTATGGGAGCTGATTCTTTCCTTATAACCATGTGAGTCCCAGGGATCAAACTTAGGTACCAATGCCTTTAACTGTTGAACCATCTCCCTGGCCTAAACTTTGCATTTCTTTCTTTCTTTCTTTCTTTCTTTCTTTCTTTCTTTCTTTCTTTCTTTCTTTCTTTCTTTCTTTCTTTCTTTCTTTCTTTCTTTCTTTCTTTCTTTCTTTCTTTCTTTCTTTCTTTCTTTCTTTCTTTCTTTCTTTCTTTCTTTCTTTCTTTCTTTCTTTCTTTCTTTCTTTCTTTGAGACAGGGTCTCCCTGTAGCCCCAGCTGGCCTGGGACTCACAAAGATCCACCTGCCTCTGCCTCCCAAGTGCTGGGATTAAAGGCGGGCACCACTATACCCAGCCTAAACTTTGCTTTTAGACAATGGTCAAATAATTTGAATTTCCTGCTCCTCACACTAAGGACTTATGATGTTATATAAAACAAGAACTATTCTTTCCTTTCTAAAAGTTCTGGGAAAGAATAACAGTGACATATTTACTAAGATTGTAATAAAGATGCAATAGGCATTGTTTGAATTTCCATATTATGTTAAATGGTTAGAAAGCAGAAAGCTGGTGGTTAGCTGGTAACACCCTCTTCTGGCTTCCATGGGTTTGCAGGCACATGGTGTGCTTGCATAGATGTAGGCAAAACACTCATATACATAAAAATAAGTAAATAAATAAGAATTAAAGGGGATGTTGTGATTTCATGCTTCTTATTAGGAGGATTTTAACAAGATTTCAGTTGACACAGAGTCATCTGAGTAGTGTCTTGGACACCTACATTTCCTGTAGGCACTTTGCTAAGTTAGGACTTTCTTGCCAGGCATGGTGGTACACGCCTTTAATCCCAGCACTTGGGAGGCAGAGGCAGGCTGATCTTTGTGAGTTCGAGGCCAGCCTGGTCTACATAGGAGTTCCAGGTCAGCTGGGGCTACAGGGAGACCCTGTCTCAAAAAGAAAAAAAAAAAAAGGACTTTCTTGCAGATGGCAGAACTGGAACAAGGCCTGTTGATGCAGCCGTGGGCATGGCTACAACTTGCTGAGAACTCACTTTTGGCCAAGGCTTATTTTGATAAGCAGGGTTATGCCTTGCTGGTTTCAGATCTTCAACAGGTGTGGTATGAACAGGTGGACACTACAGTGGTCAGCCAGCGAGCCAAGGTAAGTGTGAACAGAGGTATCACCTTGGTGTGGTGACCATGTGAATCTTTCCTAGTGAAGGTTAGGGGACATTATCATCAACCAACTTGGCTGTCTGTAAATTGGCAAAGAAGACTGAATTGGATTCAGATAATCATAGGCTCAACATCCCTAATCTGAAAATCCAAAATCTGAAATGCTCTAAAATCTGAAACTTTATTAATTCATTTTTGGGATAGGGTCTTACTATGTAGCCCTGGCTGGACTAGAACGCTCTTTGTAGACCAGACTGGTCTCAAACTCACAGAGAGCCACCTGCCTCTGCCTCCTGAGTACTGGGATTAAAGATGTGCCACCATGCCCAGCAAACCTGAAACATTTTTTGAGTACCAGTACTCAAGCACTCAAACAATTTCAGATTTTGGGTTTGGGGATTAGAGTTGCATAACTGGCAAAATCTACATGTATATTCTAAAATCAAAGAAAGGGAGGGAGGAAGGGAGGGAGGAAAAGATAAAGAGAACAAGATTGATTTTGCATGCAAGATAATGTAATGCATAGTGTGATCTATACTATTTGATGCCCAAAGGCCTTATAGTAAATTAACCTTACCCAGGACAGAACTGTGAAGCAGGTCAGTTCTCCTGTGATGTTTTCCCCTTTGCCTTCCCTTCCTCTCCTGCCCATTGTCTCCTCCTTTGCTCTGCCTTTGAGGCATTTTCCTTTTAGCACTCTCACTCTGTACTGATGCTCTCTCTCTAGGAGCTGAACAAGAGGCTGACTGCACCCCCTGCATCTTTTCTTTGTCATCTGGATGATCTGTTATGCCTGTTGTTGAAGGACGCCACTCACCCTAGCAAGGCTACATTCTCCTGTGATCGTGTGGCAGAGGCACTGATACTGCGGGTGCGGAGTGAGTTGTCTGGTCTGCCCTTCAACTGGCATTTCCACTGTACCCCAGCAAGTTCTTTACTGGTAAGTACAATTTAGATATAGGGTGCAGATGGGGATACCAGCTGCTTGAGGTGAAGCTTGGGTGCTTTTATATTTCTGTAAACCTTATTTGAAATTCCTCCCTGATAAGAAAACTCCTTGACTAGACAGGAGGCAAAAGGAGTTCTTGACTGTTATATCCTTGCCTTGCAAAAGGAGCAACATTTGGATCTGCATGCTTTATTAGGTGACTTTATTCATCATCACTATTATTACTTTTTGAAGATCAGGGACAATTTTATTAGAGTTTAAAAGAAAAACCCTCAGGATAGGCAAACTGTAAAACTCAGCAGCTCCCTGGAGGAGAAGAATGGAGGAGAGAAAGAAAAAAGACCATGCCATGTAAGCCAGCATGGGGATCAGACACACAGTGGACTAGCAGCCCTGTGGTGGAGAGGGAAGCCTTAGAGAAAGAGTAAGGAAGCCCAAAATGTTGGGGAAGCCCAAAGTGTTAGAGAAAGCATGCTTAGAAAAGAGATATTAAGAAAAAAAGGAGAGGTTATGCTTTTCTGAATTCTTACTTAAGAAACAGACTTATGAAGCCACATGGCTATGCCCTGGTAAGCTTTTGCTTTGTTCATTATTATTATTTTAACGATAAGGTTCCATGTATTCCAGGCTGGCCTCAAAATCACTTTATAGTTGAGGATGTCCTTGAATTTCTGATCTTCCTTTTACATCTTGAATGCTGGGATTACAAGTAGATGCCACTATGCCTGGGTTATGCAGTGCTGTGGATTGAACCCAGAGCTTTGTGCATGCTAGGCAAACACTCTACCAACTGAGCTACATCTCTGGCTTTTCTTGACTCTTTTTAGACAGAGCCTTACTATGTAGCCCTTGGCTGGCTTGAATTTACTATGTAGCCCGGGCTGGCCTTGAACTTGAAGTAATCCTCCTGCCTCAGCCTCCCGAATACTGGGATTACAGGCATGCATCACCATGCTTGACCATTATTTATTATTTATTCAATATTTATGAAGCATCACTTATATACTCATTATTGGGTATCCTGACCTGAAACAATATAGACTCTTCCTAGAATTTATAATTTGGTGGTGGTTGGGGAAGGAGACAGGACATTCTCATAAAGCAAGGTCAGTCAGTTCTTTCATGTGCAGGGTGACTTGAGGATCAGAGAAAACCTCTTTGGGGAGAGACTTTCTTTTTTTTTAATAATTTTTAATTGAATTTTCATGTATTTCATACGTAAAATCATCTTTATACCCCCTTTTTCCTTCTCCTTTGGTACCCTCACGTAGCTCCATCCCCCATGGGAGTTCATACATTCTGTCATTTGTTTTTTTTTTTTTTTGGTCTTTTTGAGACAGGGTCTCCCTGTAGTCCCAGCTGTCCTGGAACTCACTATGTAGCCCAGGCTGTCTTTCAACTCACAGATCCGCCTGCCTCTGCCTCCCAAGTGCTGGGATTAAAGGCGTGCGCCACCACGCCCAGCCCTTTTTAAAACTTTTAAAAACAATTTTATTTTTTTAAACTTAAAAAAAATTTATTTATTATTTTTATTTTGTGTGTATGCATGTATTGCCTGCATGTAGGTAGGTGCATCTGTGTCATGCAATGCCCTTGGAGGTCAGAAGAGGCTGTCAGATCCCCTGGGACTGGAGTTACAGACAGTTGTTAGCTGCCATGTGGGTGTTGGGATTCGAACCCGGGTCTTCTGTAAGAACAACCAGTGTTCTTAACCGCTGAGCCATCTCTCCAGCCCCACATTCTGTCATTTGTATTAAGGCCTATTATGTAAAGTTAGTGTCCCAAGATGTCCCTCAGTTAGTCAGCCTATCTAGAGTCTCTCCCTTCAAGATCAGCTCTTCCTCAGCCAGTGGTATTCAGCTGCTAATAATTCTTCAGCTATGGTTGGAGACTGCTGTTCATTTCCACAGTTCTGTGCTGGGTTTTTGTCTGCCTAAGTTTGCATGGGTCTTGTGCGTGCTGACATCATTGCTGTAGGTTTTTATGAGAAGGGTCCCCGGTGCCTGTAGGACTATTTCTGTATGGTCATGCACCTCCTCCCTGGCTCTTAAAATCTTTCCACCCCCTCTCCTGCAATGGTCCCTGAGCCCTGGGTGGGTGGACCTCAGTATAGGAGTCCTGTCCAAGGACCCACACTCTGCTGACTCTTATTCTCTGTGATTTGGCCATTTGTGGCCTTTTGTTGCATGAAGGAGCTTCATTGATGAGAACTGAAAGATGCATTAGTATTCTCTTCATCCCTTGTTCCTTGTTCTGTGAGTCTTAGGTATAGAGGTTACATCCTGGATGTGCCACTTAGGCTTGGGCAACTCACAGAGAATCTCTGTGTGTGACCAATGGTATAACTCTGTAATAATCTCTGTCTGTTGAAATAGAAGCTACTTTGATGGGTGGTGACTGGGATATTTGTCTGTAACTTTAAGGATCCATATTTTGCACATAGTAAGATATTACTTTTGTTTAGGGATATGAGAGCCTTGGGGTTGCTCTAAGATCTATGACCTCTCCAGCTATGTGTATTTGACTAGGTATATAGTACCAGACATGTGTTTCCTCCCATTGAGTGGGCTTTAAGTCCAATTAGGCAGCTGTTGATTGCCCCCAAGATAAAAGTGCCACTACTGCACTAATGTCGTTTGCTGTGCTGGTCATTGATGTGGTTTTCAGACCTTGAAGCTGGGGTTGAGCTATTGATCGGTGTTCTCCCTACCAGCTTGCATAGTGCTCTCCAAAGCTGTGAGAGCTAGCCTTCAGGGGAGGTGGCTTCCAGGTCAGTTCCAGCTCCATTGCTCCAGATCCTGTGTCCAAAATCTGTCCTGTCTTCAGCAATAGGGTCTTACCCTCAAGTTCTGGGAGGCAATCAAGAACTGTGGTAATAGCCTGTGTAATATTGGGAGTCCCTTGGACTATCCTGGCCAACAACTCAAAGAAAGGTTTCTCCTGTCTAGCAGTTTCTTGCTATGTAGCTTCAGCTGTACTCACAGACTCATGTAGGGATATTGTATGTGTAATTTTTCAGTAGGGTTCTGGATTAATATAGTTCCCTCTTGTTTTTTTTATACTAGCTAGGCATTATTTATCTCTTTGGGGAGAGAGTTTCTTAAGATGAGTAGGAACTAGTTGGGAAAAAACAAAGAAGAAAATAATTGGGTATGTGGCACATGGCTATAATCCTGATAGGGGTTTGGGGGCTGGAGAGATGGCTCAGTGGTTAAGAGTACTGGCTGCTCTTGCAGAGGACCCAGGTTCCATTCCCAGCACCCATATGGCAGCTAACAACTGTCTATAACTTCAGTTCTAGGACATCCAACACCATCTTCTGACCTCTGTGGGCATTGTATGACATGGGTGCACTTACATACATGCAGGTAATACACTTATACACATAAAATAAAAGTAATAAAATTTTTTTTTATCTTTTTGAGGCAGGGTCTCCCTGTAGCCCCAGGTGGTCTACATATGTTCTGTGTAGACCAGGCTGGCCTCAAACTCGTAGAGCTCTGCCTGCCTCTGCCTCCTGAGTGCTAGAATTAAAGGTGTGCACCACCATGCCCAGCTTAATAAATTATTTTTTAAAAGGAGTTTTGATAGGTCTAGTTGTGGTTTATCAAGACTGGTAACAGAGTGGAGTGTATGCTAATGTTACACAGCTTTCTAAGCATTTTCTTCTCACTTAGTCCTTATGATTTTCTTTTTTTTTTTGGTCTTTTTGAGACAGGGTCTCCCTTAGCCCCGGCTGTCCTGGAACTCACTATGTAGACCAGGCTGGCCTTGAACTTACAGAGATCCGCCTGCCTCTGCCTCCCGAGTGCTGGGATTAAAGGCATGCACCATCATGCCCAGCCTAGTCCTTATGATTTTCCTGTAAGAGAATGTATTATTATTTCCATTTTTCAGAGCAGGAAACAGAGATTAAAAGTAACTTGTCCAAAGTCATCCAGTTTTCAAATGAATGAGGTAGAATTTGAAGTCCACATTAGTCTAGTTGACTTGAAAGCCCTCTTTCGTGGACTAAGAGGGCCATGCTCCCTGTTTACTTGTTGTTTTACTGCCCCAAGAACTTTTATTAGAAATTAATAATGGAAATGAAGAACAGATTTTCAAAGCTGGGCATGATGGTGTCTGCTTGTAATCATAGCACTTGAGAGGTAAAAGCATGAGGATCATTAGTTCAAGGCCTCAGTTACACAGTGAGTTTGAGTACCGCCTGGGCTATATGAGACCCTATCTCAAAAACTCACTAACTAACTAACTAACTAACTAACTAACTAACTAACTAACTAGCTCTAATGACCTACCTACCTACCTACCTACCTACCTAACCAAACAAACACGCGTGTGTGTGCATGCATGCATGCATGTGTATGTGTGTATACAGGTGTGCGTACATGTATGTGAGGGTATGTTTGGAAGCCAGATGTCAACTTTGGGTGTCTGCCTCAATCATTTCTTTGTTTCTTAAAAAGTGTGTGTGTGTGCATGTGTGTACAAATGTGGGTGCTCATGGAAGCCAGAGGCATTGGATCGCCTTTTGCGAGTCACCCAATGTGGGTGCTGGGAACTGAATTCAAGTCCTCTGGAAAAGCAGTACATGCTCTTAACCACAGAGCTGTGTCTCCAGCCCTCTACCTATTTTTTTGAGACAATATCCCTTATTGAACCTGGAGCTTGCTGATTTGGCTAGACTGGATGGCCAACAGCCCCAGGGATCCTTCTGTCTCCATCTCCCCAGTGCTGGGATTACAGGTGCACACCATTGCACCTGACTTTTTATGTGGGTGCTAGGGATAAAAACTCAGATCCTCATGATTATGTGGCAAGTAGTTTGCCGGCTGAACCATGTCTCCAGCCCCCACTTTTTGTTTTTCAGTTGAATATATCCTATTTTATGATCCAGACATTCTATTCCTAGATATTTACTTAAGAATGATGGAAACATATGTCCATATGGTGGAACATGACTGTAATTCCAGTACTCTGGAGGAGGAGGA